TCTATTTACTCAACTAGAGAATTAGAAGGAACAAGTGCCACAAATTGGGTGTATCAAAATTCTTGGGACCCTCTTGCTTCGTCCCAAAAACAACACAACCCACACAGAAAGCACAGAACTGAATGCATCTTTTCATTTTCTTTGAGTTTTTTTTCTTGTCGTTGCTCTCGCAGCACCGCCAGTTCTCTAAATACTCACTTCACTGCTTTATCTATCTCCGCTTCTTTGCTTGTGTGCGTATGTCATCACACAGCGTGGTACGTTTGCGAAGGCGGCCGCGTCGCGGCAAGAGCCTTTTCTTCTTTGCTTGGTATGTTTTTTTTGCGTTATTTTTTCTACAAAATAGTGGTGTCCTTGCTGCAAATCCCGACTAGCATGTCTTGACGTCGTTCCCAGTTTTTTATGCTTCTGTCTTCGTTCATTCGTTCTCATTAACCATAATGATTATGTGTTTGTCTGCTAGTTAGCAAATTTTTTCCACCCTATAATTATGTGTTTACGCCATGTGGTGAGATAACTGATTAAAAAATCAGAAATTTCTGAATCAGCTTTTTAAATATTTGATTGAAAATATATAAGGATTATTGAAGGTAAGCTAATGAATTTTTAATACATTTTTTGTTTTCTTTTGTCTCTAATCGCATGATACCTCAACTGAAAAAAAAACAGTGTCAAAACACCTTCAAAAAACCTGTCATGTGTTGAAAAAGTGAAAAAAAACGACAAATGTGATCGTGAAATACGTCAAAGTGTTCCAGTCACAAGAAGTTTAAAATTATTTTTCAATGTTTCTTTATGTCTGACGAACTTTTTATATTTTTCTCTTTTTTATCGAACGCCGCTCGAAAGAAAAAAAACTCGATTCCTTCAACTTTTTCCTCTTTTCACAAGCCATTCTTCCGTGTTTTTTGCAGAAAAAAACTCGACTTACGCCTCTCTCGAGGACGGGCCCCCCACGGTGAAGCCTGTTTTCTGAGTGTCTGCTGCATGTAAGGTTGGTTAATAATTGGTGTGTGTGTGGCAATAATTAATAAAGATAATATCATGAAATATAAAACTTGAAAATAGAAAACGTTTTTTTTAATTTGGTTTTATACTTACCCAGTTTTTAGTAAAACCCCTTGCTTCCCCAAACACCCACACCTATCCATGGATCGGCATCCGGATCGTTCACAGTGTATGTTTCCGGCAACCCAACTGTTTTATTTCTTTTTTTAATTACTCTTTAATTTTTTGTTGTGCTTGTTGTGATTGGTTTGGAATTGATAGATAAATATTGTTGTTTTCTGGATTCGCTTTTTTTATTGCAATTTCGTTTGCTCCAGACTGATAGTGCCGCTGTGGCTTCTGAACAACAAGAACTCAATCTTTTTTTGCTTTCACAAAACTTTAAAAATCCCTTTTTTCTATCTATCTCTCTCATACTTTTCGACACGATCCCCAAGGAGATGGCATTGCTTTTCACGTTTTGTAAGGGAACTATTATTTATGATCTACTAGAAAGGGACTGTTATGGGGTCAGAAAAGTTTTGGTTTGGGTTTTGGATTTTTGTAAGTTCTAGATTTTGATTTTCGATGTTTGAACCTTCATTTAGAATTCTTTCAATTTAAAAGTAAATTTCATAAGAGTAAAATAATCTACATTCCTTCTCTTACTATCCGAGAAGTTCTTTGTTAACTTGAAATTCACAAATAAACTTTTAGATGATTTATCTAACCTATGTTTTGTCACGGTTCCTTCCTATTTCAGAACCAACGTCCGTTTTGAGCCAATTTTCTTTGGTTGCTTTGAAAAATATAAAAAAAGGTCAACTGACAAAATATTTTCAAAATGATAATAAACATTTTGTTAGTTCACCTTTTTCGGATACCTTCTACAGAAATTCTGATATACGAGCTTAAAGTTGTTGGCTTGAGTGCAATATATGATAATTTAGCCAATTTATAAAACGTGCTCATTTCTATACCTATCAATTTAATCAATTTCGATGTTCTTTTTTCTTGCTATTCTAAAGATTTTTATTTCTAAAACTCATTGCAAATAATTCCAATTTTTCGTTTCTTTCTTTCTACCCAGTAATCTTTTTCTAATCAATATCATTCGCAGAATCATTTCTCTCGTTTTCCATTTAATCACTTATCAAATTCAAATCGATTCCTATTTGTTCTCCCATTTTGAGCATTCTCTGTCTATTTTTGCTCTTCGTGCTGTGTGCAAAATAGATGAAGCCTTCCCACATTTTTTCCAATCTTTTTTTTCTGATTACTTCACCACCTATCTTCACCTATTCCTTTTTTCCAATTCCTTGCCTCTGGATTACACTGAAAATCTGAAAATTATTTTAGCGAGAAACCTGGTTATAAGACTTCATAGTTCACCATCTTCTTTTCCTTGTTGTAATTATAGTCTTACATTTAACATTGCACTATTTCTGATAACCGAACGCTTATCACAAAAACGAAATAGTGTGGATAGCGAAGAGAATCTAGAGAAAAATCACTTACAATTAAGAAAACTGATAGCAGAATAGTATTGGCATTTTCTGAGTGTGTAGACACAGGAACAAACATTGGGGTATTGTCGATTTTTGGGTGGGACCTATACTTCGCAGTCGTTGACCACTAGACAGACTTTTAAGATTTTTAGTTTTATGCTTTCGTAACGTCATTGTGCTTTTTTTCTTTTTTACAGTTGGCGTATACAGTGATCAAAATCAAAGTCATAGTAATGTTTTTTGTTCCATTCAGTAATAAAAAGTACTATTTGAAAATGTACGAAAGTGTATTTTAAGATTGCAAAAGGCTGATTTGTGAGTTGCACTTTTCCACATTCTTCCTTTTCACTGAACATTAGCAACAATGTCTAACATTTAAAAGTGCAACTGCTGAAGCCGTAATTTTATCTAAAAATTTTCTAAAACTTCTGATTTTCAATCTGACTTTTAAGCTTATTGCTATACGACTGAAATTCAAAAGTCAGGTGAAAACGTAGCAGCTGTATATACACAACCGTGCATTTCAATCACTTTCTTTCCTCCCCGTCCCCCTACCGTTTTGGTCCGCCGGGGAGGTCACCCTCATAAAATGCACCGGACAAACGGCTTCTCTACCACCCTCTTCAACTTGCTCACTATTTCCACAGACCCCTTATGTGAGAGGAGGACCAGACCAACACGTCCATTCCTATCGGTCCGTCTCCAATTCTATTCAATGGCTCTTCCCCCCTTCTATCCACGCCACCATCTGTCACTAAAGGCGGACGGGTAGGACGGAGGGTCGAGGCTATTTGCCTCTAGGCTGTCAATGAGTGAAGAAACACGTCCGAATGCTCATTGGCAAAAAGAGTCCGTCTCTCTTTGCCCACAGCTCATCCTCATTTTACATGTTTTTGTTCGTTTTTATGGATTAGGCAAATTGATAATCCCCCGAATATGATCATCTTACACTATTGGAATTAGGCACCCTGGTGTCTGGAGGTGCCTGTGGATGATGGCACTTGTCTAAAAGTGCATACATTTATAATCTAGTAATGTATGGCGTGCTCCGTGCCGGCTTGCACCAGCTTATTCTTCATTCTCCTCTTCTCTTTGCATCCTTATCCATGTTCCTTCATGCTATGTTGAGTAATGTAAGAACCACTTTGATCTGATTGCCAAGGTAAAAAGTAACAAATCTTGTGACACTATATTTGAGACACTGATTCTTGGCAGGATCTTTCTGGAATATTTCGTCACTAGTCACATGTCACAGTAGCCATATGCGTGTTCCTATCTTGCTTTCACTTTCGATTCTGTCTAGCGTGATCCAGCCAAGATTCGGGAATAGTTGGTCACTGTCTGATTTTGAAATTTCCCTTTCTATAACTTTTGAAGGCTATAAGAGTAGTCACATGTCCTAGACTTTACTTCTAAAAGTGCAACGAACAAACCCAGCATGAAACAAAATATGATGTGGCTTCTGATTCTCAAGGTTTTACATGTTTCCAACTTCTACTACTTTCTTACTTGAAATCTCCTTCTAGCTACAGTAGCGGTCAATAAGATATAGAAAAACGTATTTTTAAAAGATTGTGACCATTTTCCAGAGTCTGGAGCAAATTTCCGACCACTCTGAAAATTTTAAGAAATGTAAAACAGACCTATATTGAAAACTTTGAATTCAAACATTTTTTTTGATAATTCCTAGTCTTTCAAATGTTCACCATTTTCTGAAAGACACCCCTTTCGGCCAGTTTATGCACTGAAAACGTGGTGTATTTCAGTAATCGACAAATATCTGAAAAACTAGAAATTTTCAAAAATTCTGTAATTAAAAATTTTCAATCTATGTCTGTTCTACACCCTGTGAAATTTTCATGATGGTCAGAAACTTGACCGCCGAGCTCTAGACTCCTGGAAATGATCAAAATGGCTAAAAATCCACGTTTTCGGATATTTTATTGACCGGTACTGTAGCCCTTTTCGATCTGTTCCGTGTGCTTTCCAATTTTTCCGTTACTCCTTATACTTCTTCTATCTTTCTAAATTTTCCCAACCCCTTGACCCTCGCAATTCAAATCGTTTTATTTCAGAGACAAACGCAAGAAGGTCTACCTTCTCTCTTCTCTCTCACCACGTGGCATATGCACTTGAAACGGTGTAGCTGACGACGAGTTTTATGAAACAGGAACGCCTTCAACAAAGGAGATAACACATTAAAACACCCACACTATCGGGCCATCCTCCTTATCCCCCCCACTACCTATTCAACTTCTCCTCTTCTCCTCTATTCTACTTTTGCATCTCCTGTTCGCCAGTTCGAAGGACATTATCGTCTTATCTCTAGCTGGCAACAACGTCCAAGGCGTCGTCTTCAATCTATATTCTACTCATATTGTTTTGAAGTGATCGACTGTTCAAACAAACAATAAGAAGCCACAACGTCGGATCGAGAGTCTCGCAGTTCTTGCCGCTTCTTCTCCTTTCCCGTCTCACTCACCCCGCGTGCTTTCAAACCCTCTCATGGCGGCCGAACTGAACAACACCAACACCGATGGTGAGTTTTTTTATTTTATTTCAATTTTTCATCATTAACATAATTAATTGTGTTATCTAATTAATTTCATTTTAACTCTGAAACCGTTACCGCGTGGGAACCAAATCCAGCCTAAAACTTCTTTATTAGTCAAAAGCATGATATGAGTTTAACCTAGAAATTTAAAGATTCTTAATACATAAAAAATACTCTTAACATATCTAGAAGTTGTAATTTTTAAGGCCATTAGAAAAATTTTGCAAAAGGTGAGAAACTTTTTCTTTTGCGAAAAGTAATAAGAATCTGACCTAGAGGTAACTTCCACAATCATCAAAAATCTCCACATTAAAACTTTTGATGATAAAATATAAGCGACGATTCCAGTACATACGGTACCGGTCAATAAGGTATACAAAAACGAATTTTTCAGTTGATGTTGACAATTTTAAGGGTCTGAAACACGGTGTCTGATCTTTTTGAAAACTTTGGTTTTCTAGTTCTCCATCGATTTCTGAAAGACGCCTGTTTTTCAACGTTTTCAGTGCAAAAAAAGCTTTTTATTGCGTTTTCAGTACAAAACCGGCCTGAAGAGGTGTATTCCGGAGAACAGCAAATAGCTGAAAAACTAGGTATTTTCGAAAAAAAAAACAATTGCGCATGTTTTATTGTACAAAAACGTAATCTATCCTTGGCCGGTCGTGACCGTACTGACCTCTAATCATGGTTGGCAACATTGCAGACACACACAAACACAGTAGTTTTATAATTGCTGTGTATGTCGTCGGAGATCGTATCGGAACGCGTTCATCCGGTTTGTAGAACACCCGAATCATATATAATTAAATGAAATAAAAATTTTTGAAGATCAAAAATAAATAAATAAACAGATCCACTTAGGTAGGGGGGTCATTGAACTCGAAACCACTTATTTTCGTTTCTAAGTCTCTTCTTATTTCTTCAGTCACTCCAACTAGTGGGGAATGTGAAGGTCCCTCCGGCACCGCCGCCGCCGCTAGCGTATTCAATTGAATCGGACAACTGACCCTCCGCATCTTTGCATTTCATCGGCTCACCTAACTTACGCCTTTCCACTCTCTCTCTCTTCTTGCGCTACCGCTCGGAGTTTTTGTCTCCATAGACCATCCTACCTGTCGCACTCTCGTTTGTTTCTCGCGCTCCTCGCTCGCTGAGTCAACTCCTTTCGATAGACAAAACCCACTTTTCCGACACAACAGCCACGGTGCTGCCTGTATTTGGCGATGACTCTCGTTTAAAAACGCTCATTTTCCAACTATCTCTCCCTCTCTCGTTCCGTGTTTCGCTGCACCATCGTCCCTGACGTTTCTGACTCTCGGCTGATAGTGTACTGTTTGCGGGGGGTATAGTACTGTCTTGTCCCACTTTCTCCCAACTTTTTCTCCCTCTAGTCTCTTGTGGGAATCGAAATTTATATTGCTACTGTCCTACACGCATCGCATCGGTCCGATTTCCGATTCAATGTCCTCCGATGTCGTTGTGTGTGTGTGTCGCCTCGTCCTCCTTTGACTGGTCGTCATCTTCGTCGCAATCGCCAATCGCGCTGACGGCGACAATTTCTCCATCTCTCCTCCTCTTCTTCTTCAGCACTTTACCTCCCATCAGTGAACAATCGCCAGTTCCAATCTATATATCGATTTTGAAAGTTTCCTCCCGTTTCAATAGTTGAAATGTTTATTTTATTCGAAAATGTTATGCGAAATTCTTATATTTGCAACAATTTCATCACACATACACAACCTGTATACATTTCAGAGGCACCGACCGTCGGCTCAAACGACTCAATGTCCGGCGGGCCGCAATATTTGCCAGGGGTAATGAGTACTACACTCCGACCAACGTCACCATCCAATGGATCCTCGTCGTCGTCGTTCCTCGGAACGTCGCCAACGAGCACCTCGCAAGTAGTACCAACATCTGGAGCATCAACGCAGCCGCTTAACCCGTCGGCAGCGGCTGCGTCATCCGCGCTCCAGAACGATTTAGAGGTGAGTTGAAATATCAGGATTTTGTCTCATTTGTCATATTTTAAGATTTTTTTCAAATTCTATAATCATTAAAATAGTAGCAAACGTGTCAGGAAAATTTATAGGCGAACACGTTAGTTTATACATTTTCCAATTTATGGATTTCATCTGAAATTATTAAACATCTTGTCAAGCAATTTTTCGTAATAGTTGAAGATTGTTTCAATCTCTATGGTCCTCAGAACAAACTTCCATTTCCAGTTAACGAAAGTTCTATAAAAAACTGTGAAATCCTTATTTCATGTTTGATTAAAATTGTAACCTGAAAAATAGAACGTTCCCTTGAGATGACATCATCAAACGACTTGATTAGTTATTTTAACTGTTAAAAAGGTCACTTTACAATAGATTCCTTCTACTAACGATCCGTTATTGGTCACCTTAGTCGCGGAAAATGTTGAATTCCGATTATAAGTTCAAAATTAGAAAATGAAATATCACAGAAACACATTCTTCTAATTCATGGGCCAATTTTTTAAACCACGATCAAATTTAAATTTTTTATTTATTGTTGTACCCTTGAATTTATAAAAAGCTTGCAAACTCAAAAGTAAGGATTTTCAAAATTGCCTTTGGAATTTTTTCGGAATATTCAAAATCCCTGATTTGAAGCATCAAGACATTCTGAAATTTCCAGGAAATATTCAACTCTCCTCCTACTGCGCAAACTGCGTCAACATTTGGAGGCGACAGTCCTCCTCAACGTCAAGCCGGAAGCTTGGCTCCTGGACCACCTCTCGGCTCATCCGGAGTCTCCATCGGAGAACCATCAAGCACGATTGCCGGAGCCATGCAAGCTGGAGGAGCTGGTGCTGTTGGGTAAGAGATTAGACATGCTTGGATTAGAATTTAGAGAAATAAGAAAGAGATTAGACTACATAGTACGAAATGGAATTAATCCTTAGATCCTTGAGATTAAGTTTCTTCGATCTAGAGCTCAAAATATATTCAACTTCTTCATTTTAACGTATACCTAATGAATTTCAGCGGAAACCAAAGTGGAGTTCAATTCCAATGTCCACGGAGACCAAACCATGGAATCGAAGGAAGATCCATTCTTCTTCGGGCCAATCACTTTGCTGTGAGAATCCCAGGAGGAACCATCCAACACTACCAAGTTGATGTCTCTCCGGATAAGTGTCCAAGAAGAGTGAACCGGTAAGTTGTAAATTGGGAAGTGCTTCCTTATCAGTTATTGTTTTATTTCAGTGAGATTATCAGCTGCTTGATCAGCTCGTTCTCCAAGTATTTCACCAATATCCGTCCTGTCTACGATGGAAAACGGAACATGTACACCCGAGAGCCACTTCCAATTGGAAGAGAGCGAATGGACTTTGATGTCACTCTTCCAGGAGATTCTGCTGTCGAACGTCAATTCTCTGTTTCTTTGAAATGGGTTGGTCAGGTTTCCCTGTCAACTTTGGAAGATGCTATGGAAGGACGAGTTCGTCAAGTTCCATTCGAGGCTGTTCAAGCTATGGATGTGATCCTTCGTCACTTGCCAAGCTTGAAGTACACCCCAGTTGGCCGCTCCTTCTTTTCTCCCCCAGTCATCAGTGCTTCCGGAGTTCCAGGAACTGCTCCACCACCACAAGCAGCCCCATCCATCTCATCCGGATCCCATTCCGCTGGACAATATCATGCTGAGAGCAAACTAGGAGGAGGTCGCGAAGTCTGGTTCGGATTCCATCAATCTGTCCGTCCATCTCAATGGAAGATGATGCTCAACATCGATGTGTCTGCAACTGCCTTCTACCGCTCTATGCCAGTCATCGAGTTCATCGCTGAAGTTTTAGAGCTTCCAGTCCAAGCTCTTGCTGAGAGACGTGCTCTTTCTGATGCTCAACGTGTCAAGTTCACCAAGGAGATTCGTGGTCTGAAGATCGAGATCACTCACTGTGGACAAATGCGCAGAAAGTACCGTGTCTGCAATGTGACTCGACGTCCAGCTCAGACTCAAACCTTCCCGCTTCAACTCGAAACCGGACAAACCATCGAGTGCACTGTGGCCAAGTATTTCTACGACAAATACCGTCTTCAATTGAAATACCCTCACTTGCCATGTCTTCAAGTCGGACAGGAGCAAAAACACACCTACTTGCCACCAGAGGTCTGCAACATTGTTCCAGGACAACGTTGCATCAAGAAGCTCACCGATGTGCAGACTTCCACCATGATCAAGGCTACAGCAAGATCTGCCCCAGAGCGTGAGCGTGAGATTTCCAACTTGGTCCGCAAGGCCGAGTTCTCCGCCGATCCATTTGCTCATGAGTTTGGAATCACCATCAATCCAGCCATGACTGAAGTCAAGGGACGTGTTCTCTCGGCACCAAAGCTTTTGTACGGAGGACGCACTCGTGCGACCGCTCTTCCTAACCAAGGAGTCTGGGACATGCGTGGAAAACAATTCCACACTGGAATCGACGTTCGTGTCTGGGCAATCGCCTGCTTCGCTCAACAACAACATGTCAAGGAGAATGACTTGCGCATGTTCACCAACCAACTTCAACGCATCTCTAACGATGCTGGTATGCCAATCATCGGCAATCCATGCTTCTGCAAGTATGCCGTCGGAGTTGAGCAGGTCGAGCCAATGTTCAAGTACTTGAAGCAGAACTACTCTGGAATCCAATTGGTTGTTGTTGTCCTCCCAGGAAAGACTCCAGTTTATGGTAAGACATGTCTCATTTGAATCTAATGTAATGATTCCTTTTTTAAGCTGAGGTTAAACGTGTTGGAGATACCGTATTGGGAATTGCAACCCAGTGCGTGCAAGCCAAGAACGCCATCCGTACCACACCACAGACCTTGTCCAACTTGTGCTTGAAGATGAACGTCAAGCTTGGTGGAGTTAACAGCATTCTCCTTCCAAACGTGCGTCCACGTATCTTCAACGAACCGGTTATCTTCTTCGGTTGCGACATCACTCATCCACCAGCTGGAGACTCTAGAAAACCATCTATCGCCGCTGTCGTAGGATCCATGGATGCCCATCCAAGTAGATACGCAGCAACTGTTCGTGTCCAACAACATCGCCAGGAGATCATTTCGGATTTGACCTACATGGTCCGCGAACTTCTCGTCCAATTCTACCGCAACACTCGCTTCAAGCCAGCTCGTATCGTTGTCTACCGTGATGGAGTTTCGGAAGGACAGTTCTTCAACGTTCTCCAATACGAACTTCGTGCCATCCGCGAGGCTTGCATGATGCTCGAGAGAGGATACCAACCAGGAATCACCTTCATCGCTGTCCAAAAGAGACATCACACTCGTCTCTTCGCCGTTGAGAAGAAGGATCAGGTCGGAAAAGCCTACAACATCCCGCCAGGAACCACCGTCGATGTTGGTATCACTCACCCAACCGAGTTTGATTTCTACCTCTGCTCTCATGCTGGTATCCAAGGAACTTCCCGCCCATCTCACTACCATGTTCTCTGGGATGACAATAACCTGACTGCCGACGAACTTCAACAACTGACCTACCAAATGTGCCACACCTATGTCAGATGCACCAGATCTGTGTCAATCCCGGCGCCAGCCTACTACGCTCATTTGGTCGCTTTCCGTGCCCGTTACCATCTTGTCGACCGTGAGCATGACTCTGGGGAGGGATCCCAACCATCTGGAACCTCAGAAGATACGACCTTATCCAACATGGCCCGTGCTGTTCAAGTAAGATTATTAGTTTATCAATATTTTATGTTCTGTGTCCTTGTAAAAAATATAATCAATTTCTCCAGGTACATCCGGACGCCAACAATGTCATGTATTTCGCTTAAGGATCGACATTTGCATAGGAATCGACTTCTTTATAGCTTTTTTATCCTCTTTATCCCCAGCTCTAAATCCTCTGACGAGTACCCAACAGTTTGTCATGTCTCCAGTTATATCTGTCCAACTCCCCCAACCAATTCTCTCGTATCTCTATGGAAATCATCTCTAATTGATTTTATGTGCTCCATAACCTGACGACTATAGTATTTTTTCTAATATTTTCTCACGTTTCCCTGGTAACTTTTCTCCAATTTCACTTTTCACCTAAAATGCCTTAGTTCTTATCCTTTCCAACACGGTAGCCGCAAAAGCTTCAACGTAACATTTCATCAAAATCTCTCTAACTCTATCCATAACCTGGCATTTCCTTTTTTTTCAAAAAATTGTCCCTCTCAGAAAAACACCTCGGTACTGTTTTCATTTGTCTTTCTATCCAATCCCAGAGCTCTAAAGAACGGTTTATGATGTCCTCACTCCCCTCATCTAGCAATCAAAACTCTACTTTGCTGCTTTCCTCCATCTCCACGGGCTTGATTCATCAAATTCCACCCCACGTAACCCCCTAGATGTGTTCTGTGATTCCTCTGAACTCTTTTTGTTATTCCTTGCCCTTTACTCGTATCTATTGCTAACGCAAAGCATCAGAATCTAATGATTATGCCTTATCATTTCATTTTTCGAAAAAACTGAACGTTAGGAAACACCGGTAGAAACATAGTATGAGTATTGCAAGTATGGCGCTTCCAGAGACGGCCGGTAGGCGTAACTGAAGTCCACGATTGCAGAGTCTTTCTGTCCCTGAATACCGAAACACTCGTGACGTAGGATGCGTAGAAAGCTTAGTCTCTGGCACATGCTGGTAATACTCCTTCCATGCTTCCTCCGTTGCGCTGGCTTTCAGTTTTTAAGATAAAAGACTTGGTTTTGTATTATCACTTGTTTCCCCATCTGCGTTGACCCTTCTCCTAATAATCACATCTTTTCTAGTTCTTTCGATTTTTTTTAAGGCAATATTATTTTTCGATTTTCAACAACAAAACATTTATCATGTTTCCCGTAACAGCCAAAAAATTCTTTAATGCATTGTCCCGTCGAGCTCTCTATTCTTTCAGAACTGTTTTCCCTTCCTCTCACTCTCAGTACCCTGTCATCAAAAACTAATATATCTTGTCAAAGTGCATCTTTCAAAAACTCTTTCTACAGTCCTTCTCACTTTTTGACACTTCCTTACAAATTTTTAAAGCTGATGCTTTTTTTCTCTCGATCAATTCCGAGTCAACTTTAAAAATCTGTAAAGACTGTTCACAACATTCTTCAAAAAAAAAAACCAAAAATCCCTCCTCTCTTCGTTACAATTGTTGTACCGCCCCATCACAAAATTCCGCTCATCTCCTTTTAAGTCTATTCCTGGTTTCTCCTGCCTTTGTCTTTTTTTGTTTTTATTCTAAAACCAAATTTCTCATCACTGAAAAACCTCAACAATTCGCTGTGTCTCTCAGAATGCCTTAACATCTCGAAACAAAAATGCCCTTTTTTCTTTCGCATCCCCCCAACCCCGATGTTCCAAAATGCTCCACACAAAAAAACAGTTTCACTTTTCTCACCCCACGCGCCCAACAATCGTTTGTCATTGAATTTCTTGCATTTTCGTGTACTTTTTATGTCTTGAAAAGTGTATGATTTTGTTCTTTTTTCTTTGCAAATGAAGTCTGGAGGACCCAAAAAATTGTGTTATTTTTAATATTTTCAGATACGGTTTAAAATTTGCAGATATTCGAAAAATAGACTAAAACTCACTTTGAAATCTGTATGAGTAGCATATAGTCATGGTTAAGCTGACTTTACTGGGTTTCTATAAGAGATATCAAAAATATGTATGCTGATAAAATGTATGTGAAATTATGATAAATAGTTTTTCGATTGACAACTTATTCATATGTTCGACACGAACCAAAATACCGTATTTCCTCTAAAAGAAGCCTTCAGCTCAATTATCTCCAGTACTGCGAAAGATACCAAAACTTTGAAACTGATAAAATATTGAACAAGTTATGATAAATATTTTATCAGTTGATATATTTGTTATATCTGTCACAGAAATCGATATAATTGAACTCAAATATGACGGTTCGGGTGGGATTCTATTAGAGGAAATACGCAAATAAGCCGAAAGTCAGGGGCCCTTTTTTCACAGGGTTCAAACCAAACTGATTGGAATAATAAAATTTGTGTTTCTATTCAAAATAATAACATATTTTGACAGGCTATTACTATTATAGTTCCATTATTATAGCGACTTTATTCGAAACACGCAAACACCAAACCGGTTATTTTTAAGTATTATTTTTCAAACTTGCAAAATAATATATCAACAAACTGAGTTTGTAAACAACTATAACAACACTGTCTCTAAAATGAGTGATTTATTATCAACTTTGTAGCCTATGAGCATAAATTTTCTTCAAGGAAAAATAGTTCATGCACTTTCTATTTGTTTCTAACCTCAAACAAAAGAAAAGCACTCAAATAGAAGAAAAACGCGTATAGAGAAAAAAAGAAGCTCATGGTGGAGGTCTCTGTTGTCCTGGGCAACGAAACGCGCGTTTTTTCTCCCTGGGTCTCTAAATCTTTTGTTAGAATAGAATATTTCACAATGTCCCCTTTTTCTTATTGTCACATGAAGTCTACGAAAAAGTTATTGTTGCTGGCTCATTTTTGAATTTGCTATTAAAATTTGAAAACGCTAGTATTCATTCAATTTACCAAGCTGGGTCAATAACCACACAGTTTTGGTCTGCTCATAAGTATACAGAATACCATCATCATCAACAGCTTCCCCTTCCTCTTCCTTTTCCATCCCTTGTGACCACGCCAATTTAGTCGTTTAGGATTTCGCAATTATTGTATCCATCATGCGTCCTTCATGAAGACGTCGTTGAGAAGAGGGAAGAGAGGTAGGATAATAGAAGCACATACAACGACGACGTTCATTTTCCTTCTTCTTCTCCTTCTACCCACTCGCAAAACCTTTCTCTTTTTATTTGCGCAGGTTGTCATTACGGCTATTCTGACCACTTCAACTGGTACCTTTATTGAGACGATATTCAAAACACTGTGAGGGACCAAACATTTTCATGGCTACTTATTTTTTGAGAAGCCCTAAAAGATTCGAAAAACAGAAAACTAGTGAAAATGTAAACATACTTATTGTGAATCGATAATTTTTGATGTTTCCAAAATTAATGCGCCAAACCAAAATACTTCAAAAACAACCACATTTATGAATTTGAATTCAGAATTTCCATTTCAAATTTAATAGTTTTTTTTCTAATTTTGTATATTTACGTCCCCATGTTTTGAATCGTAAGTTTTTACCTTTAAACTTTGACTCAATGTTCCTCAGGGCTCTGAAAAATTTTCGGGTTCTTTTAAGGCCTTTTTAACCAGTTTCTTAGCATTTTGCAAATTTCTTATAATTTTACTCACATAGGGTTTTAAAAATGTTATGTTTTGTGTCACAAAATGGAGTACACCTTTCCTGTTCACTTTGTAGTTCTCACGGAGTGCAGAAAAACAAATGGTGTTGTTCTTCGAACATCGTGAACAGTTTTTGAAGATAGTAGTACACTTCCTCATGAGTCGAGCCTCAAAAACCCTAAATGGTTTTGTGATTTTTCTGTGTCTTAAAATTGTGTTATTGAAGTTTGTACTTTTTACAATTACCGTATTTGCTCTATAAGAAGTCCATCCTAAGCGTTAATTTTGATCGCAATTTCCTCGATTTCTGTAGAAGATTTGAAAAACTTGTTAACTAATCAATTGTTTATCATAATATCACCAATATTTTATCAGTTAACAAATTTTTGATATCTTTCACAGGAATCGCGATAATTGAGCTCGACGTTGAGTGAGCATTTATAAGAGAGTTGTAATATTTTTGTTCTATTAGCTCATATCAAACTATTCAAAATCATTCTTTGACAATTTCTTGTTCAAAACATGACATGGTCTTTATATGATTATTGAAACTTTTTCGATGACTCATTTAAAGTTTTCCCACCTAAATGACACATACAGAGAAGTGAAGAGATAGGACATACATTGCAAAATTCTCTCTCTCTTTTCGTTTTCTTTCATCTATCGTTTTTTTTTCCCTACTTTCACTCATACACAGTACCAAAGTCAATGTCAACACCAGCGATTCGCACCCTCCTGCGACGGGGCCTCGGTGAGCCCCCATGTGTATACAGTACTGTTCATTCGGCCTATTTTTGCGCAGTTTCTCTTCTTTTTTTGTGCTCCCCTAAAATTGATTCAAGTTGATGGCGGCAACGGTGGTGGTTAAACTTTAACTTACTCGTTTTGTTTGAACTATTTTTAACGTGATTCTTTCTACTCTGACTTTCATTTTCTTCTTGTTTCTTGAAAAACTTTTTTTTTTGAATTCTCGGCTTAGTTCTTATACTCTGTATTTTGAAAAATTATAAACATCTAGTTTTTGAGTCATCGATTTCATAATAACTATTTTCATTTTCTAGATCACCTTCTTGATATCATTTTTTGCTTATCAAACCGTGTGTTATAGTTTGTTATCAAAAATTCAAACCCACGAATGATCCAAATAGTCTGAACAGTCTGCATATACTGCACATATTATTGAAAAAACCGGTTATGATCCCTAGAGATGACTTTATGGAACAAAATGAGACTATGTTCTTTTACTCTCCATTTATACCCATTTTCGACTACCCCACGCATTTTTCGTTTTATATTTTGTCCGTTTTTGCAATATGGATATAAAATTTTTTATACTTCTCTACTTGTCCTCCCCTCCACCTTCAATTCGTACATTGCTTACTTTTCCATCCCCGTTTTCCTCTTTTTCCTATCGAGTTACACACAAGCCTCCAGGAACAAAATATATTTGGGAGAGCGGGGCTGCTTTTGGAAAATGTCATATTGACTTTGCCCTTCTGAACCTCTCGCTCTATTATAATATCGTGCACTCATTTCCACACCGCTATTATTATTCCCTGATACATTATTCACTCGAAAAACATCAATATGGCGTTTCAGCGCAGTTCATACAGGAACATGAAGGACAGATCCAGCGAGTTCCAGGTGAGAAACTGAGATTTTCGAGTTAGAATTACAGTAGATTTTCAAAAACGTGTTATTCAGTAGATTTTCGGTGATTTTGATCATTTTCAGGAGTCTCTAGCTTGGCTGTCGAGTGTCGGATCACTTTGAAAGCCTTGGAAGATTTAAAACAGAACCAAATAGAATACTTTGTGTCCACAGAATTTTTAGAAAGTTCCTAGTTTTCCAGCTAATCGCTGATTTCTAAAGGACACCTTTTAAGTACAAAACATGCTAAAATAGGGTGTATGTGAGAAATCGGCAAATTGAAATTGATCGGAAGCTTGACAACCGAGCTCTAGACTCCCTAAAATGACCGAAAATCAACTGAAAAGTACGTTTCTATATATCTTATTGACCGGTACGATACACTAGGAAAATAAAAACCTGAGTCATACTGGTTTGTATGATTCTCTACCAGGATTAATAACAATGACACACTGACCTAAATCCTCCTTTACTTGTTGACGGTCACAATCACAAAAAACCATTACCAACACCATTCAACATGGGCACATTTCAGAGCCGCGTCACCGATAGATTTGACGAAGTTGAACTCTCGCCGGCACGACCGCCATCGGCAGCCGAGTATGTTGACCGACGATTCGAGGTAATCCCGTTTACATTGTACACGTCTTACACTAAAAAATTTGCCACTTTTCCAAGGAAGTTCGAAATGCAATTGTTAGTGTTCGAGGGGAGATTGAGAAATTGAGACGGGATCAACAACATATTTTATCGTTGACGATTGCAGATCCAAGAGATAAGGTAGGTCAATTTTCTTGGTTTTGGACGAATCAAATTGTACCGTATGCGTTGATAAGAGCCATTTCTGCACTTAATTGAACTTTGTAATTACCGGAAAGACTCTAATAGAAGGCAACCTCAAACTTGTAGTTTGAGCTCACTTATCTCAATTCCTATAAGATATACCAAAAATATGCCAACTAAGAAAATGTTGATGGGATTATGACCAAAGTTTCATTAGTTGACAAATTTTTGTTATCTTCAATAGAAATAGAGATAATCCTGCTCAAACTTGACAGGCCCTTTTATTACATGTCTTACGATAGTAATACAGATGTTTTTACTTTTTTTTTGGTGCCGAAAAATGTCTATAAGTAGAATTAAACTTTTTCTGTTTCTTAAATTTTTCTCTGAAAGTTCAATTTCAGAACATTCTCGAAAACCAAATCGGAACTATTCGGCGACGCACAGGAGATCTTCGAAAATTGGTCCGACAAGCGGAGGATGACTTTCTGGAATTCACTAAACGTAAGCATTCTTTTTTCTAGTAACTGGATACTTTCCATTTTTTCATCCATTTTGTTATTTCGGATTATGAGTCTAGATTTTCATTTATGTAGGTGACATCAAAGTAAACACTTTTTTTGAAAAAACATTTCCAGAAACCCAATCTATCACCGAGAAAAGAATCCGTCAGAATCAACTGGAACTTTTGAAGGACAACCTTAACAAACTGATAAATCTATTCAACGACACCCATCAAGACTACAAATCGAGAGTTTCGCTTCGTGTTCGACGACAACTTCAGACCGTTGGACAAAATTTGACAGACGAAGACATTAATCGAATTATTGAGAATAGTGGATCCGAGCAAGTGAGTTATCCTTTTTTAATATTTCTTATCAACTATTTTACTGATTCAGCTATTCTTCCGTGAAGTGAATCCACTGTCTGTATCAGGCCAAGCGGCATACGAAGATGTGAAAAAACGACATGGGGAAATCAAGGACCTCGAGAATAATATTGCAATGCTTGAGGAGATTTTCTTGGACTTGCAGCACTTGACAGAAGCGCAGGTATTTCAAATTTTAGTTCATTATATATGTAATTAAAATTGTTTATAGGACGAAATGGTGACCAATATTGACAACAATGTAGAAAATGGTCTGGAACAAGTGAAACAAGGATCTGCAAATGTTAAAACTGCAGTGGAGTACAAGAAGAGTGCGATGAGGAAAAAGGTAATAACCGTGAACCTGTGATAACAGATCCCTCCTAACTTTAAACTTCAAGTCAATTTATCTCGGTTCCTATCGAAGGTTTAAAAAATTTATCAACTGATGAATTGTTTATCATGATCTCAAACACTTTTCTGATTAACACATTTTTGATATCTCTTAAAAGAACTGATATAATTGGTTGAGCTTATATTACAGTATTTTCCATCTTCTGCGTTAAAAAACATGAAACTTTGAGCCAATTCATTTCTGTTCTTGTCAAAAATATAAAAAAGTTGTCAGCTGATAAATTGTTCATTATAACATCACAAACATTTTATCAGTTGACATAATTATATTATCTCTTAACGAAATTGAAATAATTGAGCTCAAAGTGCACGCATAGGGTTGGCTTCTATATGAGTGTACGATATCTTCAGCCTCAATTCATCCTGATATCTACTGAAACCTTTCAGATCTGCGTTGCTGCGATTCTCATCACTATCGTCCTTATCCTTATCATTGTTGCTATCATCCTGGCTGTTGTACTATCCAGAGGCAACAACAACAACAAATAAACAAACCGGAAACTTGCCCAATTTTCAAACATTCAGCTCTAGTTTCCTCCTTTTTTGGTATTACACTTGCCTCTTCTCCATTATTCTGAACATTTGAATCAAAATGTGATAACCATAATCCGACAACTTAGCGGATACTTGACTAGTCATATCTGTCTGAGGAAAATGTAAAACTTCTGTAATAATTTTTTTTACTGTTTACATCATTCTCAAAGTTTTAAAAAGTTAAAAAATTTGCGATTTTAACCGGTTAGCTTATCTAGAAACACTTTTCTCTTCCCTCATCGTCCGAATCCATCCCACTTATTATCCTGGTCATCATTTTTAATCCTCTCTGATAATACAAATGTACAGGTTTTCCATTAATTTTTTTTACATGAATGGTTCTATTCTAAATTTGAAAAACCACAATGATGATTTGAAGTAAGAGATAATGTGTGAAAAGTAGGTGAAATCCGTCCTTGAAATATGCGCGCGACCCAATTATGCGTCGCCTGCGTCGAAGAACACAAGAACAGTTATTGTTTTTCCGGAATCTCAGACTAAACCGACTGCTGTATGAGATAGATAACAGTTTTTTATTCCTGTTTCGTTAATTCTTTTCCGCTTTTTTTGGTTTCTCTTTCATATAGAATTAGGCAGAAAATGAACAATACAAAGTCAAGATTTGGCAACCAATAAGAAAAGAAACATGCGGATTATAGGCCGCTTATTCCTATTTTTACTATTATTAATATTCTGTGTCGTGTTTATTGTCTTCTCGGTATCCACTATTTTATTCCCAAGCATTATTCAAGAGGATGAGATTCATGACGAGCATTGTCTCAACATGCCACCACATCACTATATACATCCGGTGAGTTGAAATGACAAAAGTTGTGCTAAAGTACTCAAAAATAGTGTACTACTAAATAGAATGTGAGTAATGAAAGTAAAAGTTTCCATTTGAAAAGATATTTATGACTTTTCAACTCAAAAAAATCACAAATCTTCACGTTTTATGTAAACAAAACAAAGAAATAAACAAAATACCGTATTTGCTCTAATAGAAGCTCTTCACGTGCTTTTTAAGCTCAATTATCTCGGGACCTTCAAGTGAAACAAAAAACATTCAACTGATAAATTATTCACCATAAGATAACCAATATTTTATTAGTTGACAGTTCTTTGATATCTCTTGAAAGAGCTGGGATAATTGAGCTCAAAGCATGTAAAGGGTAGGATTCTAATAGAACAATCACGGTAAGAATTCTTATTCAGATGGCCTTCGAATAATAAAAACTTTGAAATCTGTTTTTCAGGTATTCCTTGCCAGTGGTCCTCCAATCCAGTCTCAACCTCGGCCTATTTTCAATCCAAAACGAGTGGGAACCTCTGCAAAATTGGACTGCAACTTACAGAATAAGACTTTAATAATCATCAATTCTCATGTTAACCACACAGGGTATCGGAAAATGCAAAGAGAGTTTTTTAGGCCTGAATGGCTGAATGAGGTATAGAGGAAACAAAATTTTAAACAAGCTAATATGATGATATTCAGAACAATGCCATGTTATACTTTGTAGTGGCTACAGAAGACACTGTGAATATTGAAGCTGAGATGAAAAAGCATAGAGATATAATGCAAGTTGATACAAATGAGGATTACCATAATATCACTTATAAAGTAAATTTACAGTCATAGAAGGGCCCCCCCCCCACACTTTCAAGTTTGAGCTAATTGTTTTGATCCTATGAAAGATAAATAAAACGTGTCAACTGATAAAACATTAGTGATATTATGCGAAGTAGTTTATCAGTTTGCAACTTTCTGATATCTTATGAGGCCACCGAGATAAATGGTCTCAAAGTTGAAAGTTAGAGGGGCACTTCTCCTATATGTTCTACGAGAGTAGGAGTTTCCAGGCAATCTTCTGGATCAAAGAGGTGGCACAATGCAAGCACGGTCCAAAGTTACTTCTAAAAATCGATGATGATGTTCATATTGATATGATTGGATTGCAGTTTCTGATTAAACGGTTGCGAAATCTAATCAACATCAAAACAAACTCAAATTTCAGATACCGAACGATTGATGATTTCATCGCTTGTAGAGTGATATCTAGTGGTCAAGTAGTCAGAAATAGCACATCAAAGTGGTACTTGTCAAAGGACGAGTATAAATTCAATACTCTGGGGACATATTGCCAAGGAATGGTCTATTTTATCAGCGGGAATTTGATGCCGATCCTTTATAAAAACATTGAGAAATCGCAGTTCTTATGGGTACGTTTTTCTTTTCGGATTACTGTATTTTGGAGATACACATATAACAGATGGATGATTGGTATGTAACCCGATCATTAGTCGGCGACTACCGTATCAGCTACTACTCACTGGAGCAACACACGCTTTCACCAAACGCTGTTCATGAATTGAAAGCGCATCTGAATTCTATCCGCCAGCGGAAATGGCGAACTATTTTTGTGCACTTCCGTCCTCCAGAGAAGTGAGCCATCCAAGAAATTCAATTTCTAGAATCTCAAATTTTAGGTATCCTATGTATCGCCGTAAACGAATCTTTGCAAACATCACCGACGTGAACAATTCCTGTGAAATTTTGAAAAAAGCGAGAATCAATTTTGTGCCGGCGTATTAGTCTTTTTTGATTCATTTTTCTAATAATGATAATGCTATTCTCATTACGTTCTGACATTATTAAAGTTAGGAGACACGTCTTTCACATGTTTTACGGTAATTGAAACATCCAACTCAAATACCAGTACCAGAAAACAGTCTAAAATCCTCAACGTCTGCAACTACGCCCACTCGAACTATCTCTTACTTTTTATTTTTTAGCTACCTGAGGATGAAAAGCTTTGCGAAACAACACGTGTTCAGAATAAAGGTTTTGAAACTGGGCCAAAGATTGTCGTAAAAAATGTTTTAGAAAAGCCCCAATACTGTCAAGTTTGCGCTCAATTATCTCCGTTCTTCAGAAAGATATCATAAATGTGTCTAAAACTGATAGAACATTTCTCATATTTTGATGAACACGTGATCAGTTGACAACATTTTTGTATCTTTGACAGCAACCAAGATAAATGGGCTTAAAGTTAAGGGCCGGAATCACTTTATTATATGTTTTACGGTTTGTGTGGGGCCAGATTTATGAAAAATGGTGTTGGACCCTTGTAGCATCTTGGAACTTATTTTTAATTCCTATTCTAGCAATATCTATGTTTCTCAGTCTACAAACTAAATTTCTAGATTATTTTTCATCGCTCCAATCACTCACCTGTCCATTAGCAAATGAAAAAAGTAAATTTATTCCAAAAAAATCCAAAGCAAATGCATTGTGAAAATTGTCACAATTTGAACAATTGAATAGCAAAAATAGAAAACAGGTGGGGAAAGGGAAACAGAGCACAAAAACATATAAAATGTAATTGCAAATATCATAAAAAATTATGAAAATATCTATGTCGATCCGACATCCGACGCACTCTCATCAGTGGTCTTATCTTCATTGGCTTTATTGGCAGGTCTGAAAATGAATTTTCCGATATTATCAAAATTTTCGGACAGCTTACTTTTTTTCAGAATATTTATGTTCGTCTTTCTTCTTTTCTTCGGATGCATTGTGTTTTGGAGTTTCCGGTTGGATATTGATAGTAACTGTTGGCTTGACCTCTGATGGAGTCTCTAGCTTTGTCTCAGGCTGAGCATCCTCTGCTGGCTCCTCAACTTTCTTCTCAACTTCTGACTCCTCTTTTGCCTCCACTTTTTCTTCTGCTTTTTCGGGCTGAGTCTCATCAGGTTTCGTAGAATCATTCTGTTTAACAACTCTCGGCGTTGCTATCACCGGCTCCGCAGCAGGCCTTCCAGTGTACCTTGGATTCTCATATGTCCCCCGAAAGCCTCCACGAATAGCAAATCCACCAGCACCTCCACGTCCACGACCACGATAAGATGGAGCGAATCCTCCGAATCTTGTGTCCATACTCATTACAGCAGCTAGTGGCATAGGACAGCTTGCTGCATCGAGCCATGTGTTATGGAATTTGGCATCCTGCTGAATCTGTGGCGGACGTGTCATTCCAAATGGTCCTGGGAGAAGTGGAGCTCTATGGCCTCCTAGTGGCACGTTTCCGATGTGGGTGTTCTGGAAAGCGTTCATCGTGGACATCACTTGAGGATTCATGATTTGTGGGGCTCCTTGATAACGGTTAACTCCTTCGTTGGGTTGTTGTGGAGGCGGTGGTGGTTGCTGATGTTGAAGTCCTTGTCCCTGGTATCCTCCACGATAAGGACGAGGATTCTTTCCTTTGTAGTTTGGCGATCGGCCGAACTCCGGTACCACCTGATTTTGTTGCATGTTTCGTTGATTGTATGATGAGTTATTTTGATTGTTCTGAAAATGAGAACAATTAGAACAGTATCGGAGTTATTCAGAGAAAAGCGAACGAGCATACTGCTGGTTTTATCCTTAATCAGAGCGAAGCAATTTGCTGCTGCCGCAACATCCAACAATTCAGGAGTTTTCTAGGCCATTTGCTTGTCCTCCTTAACAAGCATAGCGAGCCCAGCAAGGCCTTTGCAAGAGATTCCATGTTCCTTAATTTTGAGCTTTCAAATCGATTCAACGTTGAAGGCGCATGGAATTATCATCGCTTGGCTTGACACGCCTTGCTTGTCCACATTGATCAACAAATGACCAAGAAAACTCATTTTTTTGCTGCCGCGACTGCTCTGCATGACCCTATTTCAACAACGTCTTCACTCACTTCATAACGATAAGCACTGTAGTCATTCACCCGTTTTGAGTTGTTTCTATCCCGTCCTTGGTTTGCATTTGGATGCTGTTGTTGTTGATGATACTGCTGTGGTTGCTGCTGCTGCTGCTTCCGTGGATACTGCTCTCCGGCTCCTCCGCCATTGTTGTTTCCGTTGTAGTTATGGTTACCACTACCACCACCACGCGCCTGATTGTTTCCACCTCTCATATTATTCTGGCTGCTATTATTTTGGTATCCTCCGCCATTGCTTCTTGGTGGTCCAGAATACTCTTTTCGTTGGCCATATGAGCGTGGAGTGTTCCCGGATGATGGAGAGACAGCTTGGTTGGATCCATGCTGTGCCGCAAGATGGGAACTGGATTCCCCATTGGTTCCCTTGTTCTCAGCTCTTGTCTTCTGCATACGAGCTTTCTCCAATCTCTCGTCAAATGTCAATTCTCGGCCTTCCTCGCTTCTGAACAAAAACACACAATTACTTCACTCAAAATTCACACAATACACCCACCTCTCTCCTTTTGCACTTTTAGACGTTTTTGTTGTGATTTGCGACGCTGCTTTGTCCTTCTCAACATATGGTGACGGCCGTGACTGCTGAGGCAATTGGAACGGCTGTTGCGTGGTGGATGGTGACATGTGATTCTCGCGATCCGTCCAATTTTCGCCATTCATTTGACTGGACGAGCGAGGACCGTCGTCATTGTGGAAGCAATTTTCCTGGAAAGTAAACAATTTTTGAGATGCAGATAAAAAATGAGACAAAGTGAAGCCGTCGCTTGTTTAAATATCTAAATTAGGTTCAGACAACTGCAATGAATTTATAGAAATAGATTTCGCTTCATGATGTTCCAATTGTGTGGCGTGTGTCTACGTAAACCGACACGAAAGCAATCAAAGCAGTTTCAGTAGTCTTTAAGATTTTTGCAATTAATTAATTATCTATAATATTTACCACACAAGAAGCAACAGCTTATTTGGTTGTGTAACAGATTTACATTAATTTTATTAAAAATTTTGAAATTGGCTTTGGTGCTAACTGATAGCATACATAAAAATCCCCCGCGTGCCCCAAGTTTGCTAAAGCCCGGCCCATCCTGGCTGGCCATGGTTTTTCATATTCGAAAAAGAATTAGAATTGTCAGAAAATTTCTATTTTTTTTTAAATGAAAACTTTTTTTAACGACGATACGTTCTTTGCAAGCTTTTGCAGAGTTTTTCAATAGGCTTCGAACATTTTTTGAAAAATAATCAAAAATTACTGTAGGCTCAGACCTGACCGAGGCTAGTCCTAATCGAGCTTGACCGAGCCTGGCCAAGCCTGACCAAGCCTGACCAAGTCTGACCAAGATTGATCAAGCTTGAAATAGGCTGCACAGCTTGACCGGCTCTGTTTCTTATCGAGTCTGATAGGGCCTTATCCTAGCCGCGCCTGACCGAACCTGACCAAGTTTGACCAAGCATGGTCCTCATCTAGCTTGACCTAGCCTGCTCGAACCTGACCGATCATGGTCCCGATTAAGCCGGATAGTGCCGGGTCCTGATTGAGCCGGATAGTGCCGGGTCCTGATTGAGCCGGATAGTGCCGGGTCCTGATCATACCTGACCGAGCCTAACCAAGCTTGACGGAGCCTTGGTCTCATTGAGTTTGACCTAGCATGACCGGGTCTCAATTTGATCGGGCCGGGCCGGACCTGACCAGATCTTGTTCTGACCGATCCTGATCGGGCCTAGTCATGACCGTGCCTGAACTTGCCTGGTCGAGCCTAACCGAGCCTGGCTCTAATCGAGCATGGTAGAGACAGACCGGGTCTACTCTTGATCGAGCTTAACATGGCTTGGTCCTGATTGAGCCTGACCGGGCCCAGTCTGGTTTGGGCACGATCGAGCCTGGTCGTACCAAGCATAAACAGGCCCGATCCTGTCCCTGAGCGAGCCTGAGAATTCTTGAAAAATACATTTTTAAATTAAAAAAAAATTCTCGGAAAAGTAAGACATCAGTAGGATTTTCTAAAACAACTTTCCGCATAACGTGATAAAGTACCTCCGGTTTATCCTTCATTTCCGGTGGAATGCTTGATGTGGAGCTGACCCAGTTGGCAGTGTAGGAAGCCGATGCGTGAGCCTGGCTCTCCACGATTGGAGCCACAAACGGAACGAATTGCATATAGTTAGCCGATGTTGACTCGTTACCGCTTTGATACTCATCCTGGCGTTGTCCATTTGGACGGTTCATCGGATGATCGGGGTGGTAGGCAGGATCCTGAAGAAAAATAAATTTTTGATTTGGTTTTGGAGGTTGGTTTACAATGTTGAACACTATTCAACTAACATTTTCCAGATGTACTAATGAGTCTGAAAAACGGAACAATATGTTTTTCCCTAGTTTTTTTCTTCTTTTTCTCAAACTCACATTAGCTACGTTGAAAGTGGTCGCATAAGTCGGAATGAATTGGGTCGTTTGCTGTTGTGAGCCCGGTGGATACCACGTTTGAGACTGAAAAATCGCAATGAATAGGAGTGATCACATCGCTCCAATAAGATAGGAAAAACGTATTTTTCAGTTGATTTTTGGTCATTTTCAGAAGTCTGGAGCTCGGCAGTCAAGAGTCGGACCACCTTGAAAATTTAGGAAGGGGTAAAACAGATCTAGGTTGAAAACTTTGCAGTCACCAATTTTTTCTAAATTCCTAGTTTTTCAGATATTTGCGGTTTTCTGAAGGACACCTGTTTTTTGCGCATTTTCAGTACAGACATAGCAAAGAGAGTGTCCCAGAAATCGGCAAATAGCTGAAACTGGGATTTTTTGAAAAATTCTGTGAATGCATGTTTTTAGTCTAGATCTGTTAACCTCCAAAATTTTCAAAGTGATCCGACACTTGACAGCGGTTCTTCAGGTTGCGGAAAATGCTCAAAATGAAAATCAACCGAAAAAATGTTTTTCTATAACTTATTGACCGGTATTATAGGTATGAATTGACCACTCACATATTGTTGAGGGCCGTATCCTGCTGAATTGTCACCCATCATCATTCCTCCATTATCCATTGGCTGCGTAAAATGGACCGTTCCATAATGATTGTATCCTTGCACTTTGCCTGTTTCTTGATAATTTACAGGCTCACCTTGTTGTGGACCATAGTGAACATAGTGCACCTGAATAGCTAGATGAACAACTTTTCAAAAATGGAAGAGAAAACTCACAGCACTCTGCGGTGGCTGATTCCAAACTGGAGGTCCTTGTTGTTGATAAGACTGCATATGATTGTTGTACGGCTGTTGGTAAACTACTTGGCCTTGGTGATAGTTATGAGGATGTGGTTGATGTGGTTGCTGCTGCTGATGTTGCTGCTGCTGATGCGAGACTTGACCAGAATTATTAGCCTGAGAGGCTAATGGAGGCGCCTGCGCCTTCTCTGGCTTCGCAGCCGACATTCCACCAGGAGAATGGCAAAAGGAAAATTACGGTCAAGTGGCAGAAGACTGAAAGAAGGTGAAACTGAGAGTGAGAGGCGGAACCTGAGAAGTTGAGAAGAGGGGAAAAATTCGTAGAAAAAAAGTTGGATCAAGATAGGAACGATCAGATAAGCTAAACAGTTTTCAGTTTTCAGCGAACTTGTGATGGCAAGTCATATGAGTAACAACACGCAATTTGAAACCAGTGAAGAAGATTGCAAGGTTTAATACGGCTTGAACAAAACATTTGGGATAGGTTTTTGGCAGAAAGAGATTCGGAAAGAAAAGAAACGTTGACGAGATGGAAGTCGGCGTTAGTTCAGTAATAGACCCAAAAAGGGCACGTACACATGCCGCCTCCCATCTAACCACATCATTCTATCCAATAGGACAAAAGTAGAGAGGTAGCATATGCTCTTGATCTCCTTTCGCTACCGCAGGAAGTCAAAGTCGCGCCAAGACCCTCGTCCGTGCCGTTGTCGGCCCGTCGTCGGGCGCTGACGTCGCCGTAGTTGATGACGACGATCAATAGGGCGGTTGCGGCGGGGCCCTTAGCCATCCCTGGGCGCCTCGCGTTTTTTTTTTCTCTTTTTCTTTCTCTCCATGCCAGGCGCTGCACACACACATACATTGAAATGGAAAGATAGAGAGGAAGAAAAAGGAAAAAGAGTGAAAGAACGAGAGAGACACTCGTATTTCGTCCCAACACTCGTGTGCGCAGGCGCCGGGGCATTTGGTTGGGCAAAAACAGATGGAGAAGGACGAGAGAAACGGTTTGAAATAAGTGTGAGGCAGAGAAATTCGCAAAAATTGAGTGGATGCGAGATTCGCGGAGAGACCAGAGAGTCAATGTCCTCACTGAACTGAACGTGGCTGATGGAAATGAATGGTGGGTCGCAGCTGTGAGAGACGCAGAGAGAATAGAGAGAATTCACAGTGAATAGAACTAAAAAGAGAGAGAAATAGTGACAGAAAGGAAACAAGAGAGCGGTGAGCACAGGCTGTCCCTCTTTTTCTCCTCTTTTTTCTCTCCCTCCTTCGCTTTATCGTTCTCTATCTCGCTTCGAATGGACGGCCAGTGACATTTCACATCTCGGTGCTCTATGTCTCCTCGACTCATACAATACCACGACATAACTCACCAGTACTCTCTCTCTCTCTCTCTCTCTCTCTCTCTCTCTCTCTCTCTCTCTCTCTCTTTCTTTTTTGTGCCACAAACATTCCTTAAGACAGATAAAGGCATGAAGGGAGGAGAGGAAGTAGAAGGTGTGCCATTTATTTGTGTAATCTCAAGTTGGATTAGTCAGAAGAAGAAGGAACACATTTTCAAATGATTCAGAAACATGAAATATGACAAATAAACGGGATGAGGTCACTTGGAATGATTAAAAAGGTATTTTTGGGATTCAGAATTTTTCAAATAGAGAATTTGGAATCCAGAAAAGGAACTAGATTTTTTCTGTTATAACTCATAAAATGCCAATGAAAAAGGAATGGTTTAGGAGATTTTTGAACCCGGAAACTTTCTTTTTTTTAACGAAATTTGTAAGACGGCAAGAAAAATAGTCATTCTAAACAAGTTGCTCTTTGGTGCAGGCGGGGCGGCTCAGGATCAAAAGTGCTACTGAATACAATCGCCAGGATGAAGATTGATGAAAGTGCAAAATGGGAGGGGAGAGACAAGAGAGCAAGAGAGCACATGAGGAGCACCGAATGGTACCATTTGTATCAGGAAGAAAGAGAAAAGGGGATTGCGATTGATTGAAAATAAAAAATAGAAAAAATTGCAAGACGCAAACCGTCTTTTTTGTAATAGTATTCAGTGTTAAATTGATTGTTGAAAGCATTTTGCACAAGTTGAAAGTTTGAATAAATACACACGAAAAATTGGGGAGCGCAACGAGTGAAAAGTTAAAGGAAGAAAATAAAACTTGTCTAGAAAAATAGTTTTCAGGAAAATAAATTTCCTAGAATTTCCTGAAATAGCTTTCGTGTATTTTTCGTCACGCTGGAATAAGAAAAGATTATCTACTTGCATCTAGAACGTAGAGAGCAATCGGTCAACTTTCCCTAGTTAAACGGATAAGCAGATTTTTGAAATTGTATCCTCTTGTTGAGGATTTTGAGATTTATCACTACCGTATTCGCTCTGATAGAAGCTCAACCAATTCTTGAACGTTGAGATGAATTATCTCGGTTCCTGTGAGAGATATCAAAAAACGTTTAACTGATGAAATATTCAACATAGTATCACCAATATTTTATCACTTGACAAATTGTTGATAGGAAAAATTTTTTGGGGAATTTGAGATTTACCGTATTTGCACAAATAGAAGCCCACCCAAACCGTCAACTTTGAGCACAATCATCTCATTTCCTTTGTGAGATATCAAACAGATAAATCATTTATAATAATGTCACAAATATTTTATCAGTTGTGAAATTTTTGATATCTCTCATAGGATCCCAGATAAATGATCTTAAAGCGCACGTACAAGGTTGGCTTTTATCTGTTATCCCAACCATGCTCTTCGAGCTCAATTATCTCGGTTCCTTCGAGAGATATGAAAAATTTGTCAACTGATAAATTGTTCATTATAAAATCAGAAACATTTTATCAGTAGACAGATTTTTCATATTTTTAAAAAAACCGAGATAATTAAGTTTAAAGCGCATCTATAGGGTCGGATTCTATTGTAGCCAATGATTTTGATTTAAAAAATAGATTTTTTGAGAAATAAAAAAAACGGATGGTATTGTGAACTGTTTTCTTAGGAGCTTGAAGTTAATGGTGGTTATATTTCAACTGAAATTAGCACAGAACATCGCATCCGCCTGAAAATTATGCTAGATGAAAAAATAATAAGAAAAATTCCAATTTAACAAAGTGGATTTTGTTGGATTTTGAAATTGACCTTTCTCTTTTATCCACTTTCAATTTGATCTCTGATTCGACATCACACTTCTCCGTCTTACATGAACTTTGTCATTTAGAACCGCCAACGGTTTTCAAGGACTTTAGGTGAAAAACAATCTGCTTCTAGAAGAAAACGTTCAGAAGGGAGAAAGGAATTGGTGAGAAGTGGCACAAAAGGAATGGAATGGAATGTAAAAGAAGAGATGCTGTGGTGTGCCAGGCACTTGAGCAATTTTCCTGGCACAAAAAAAGAGCAAAAAGAGGACATGGACTGCTAATGAAACCAGCTAATGAGACGTTTTTGTTACAGAATGAACAAAAAATAGAGAGGGAAAAAAATTAAAAGGAAAGTAAAGGCAAAAGAAAGGCAATTGAGGTTTCAGCATCTTCTATAAAGCTCAAATGATGTCAATTTTTCAAAGGAATGGAGAAGAGGAAATGGATTGGTAGCTGAGTCGGAAACAACAAGAGGATGAATGACCGGGGAAAAGGAAAATATCGAATTTATGGTGCATTTTTAATTTCCGGAAAGAAACACACTACATATTCTCTTCTGTGGGCGACGATTGTAAAACCTGTAATAGAAGGGTCAAGTTAGATTATCTGGGCTTCTACAAGAGATATCGAAAATGTGTCAACTGAAACACTTTATGAGATATTATGATTAAAAATTTATCAGTTGACACTTTTTTCATATCATTGACAAGAATCGAGAGAATTGAGCTCAAAGCGCATGTATAAGGTGAGCTATCAATGTTTTATCTTAAACCTGCACTTTCAACTTAATTATCTCGGTTCCTCCAAAAGATATCAAAAAACTGTCAACCGATATATTATTCATCACAGTATGACCAACATTTCATCAGTTGGTACAATGTTAATCTCTTTTACAGAAATCGAGATAATTGAGCTCAAAGATTGAGTTGTCTTCTATTAGGACGTTTACGGTTTCTGATTGCTTCTGATTTGAATTTAGAGAACTATTCAAATTCAGAAAATTTTTTAAAAAATCTAGATAAATTGACTGAAAATTGAAAATTAGAGGACTTTTCTATTACAGGTTTTACCGTAATTTTTTTCTCTTAAGTTGTTCTGACCATCTGGAACTCCTTGTTACTACCTAGTCAACCACAGATTAACAAGTGTTAAGAACAAACAAGGTTACTCGTGATTAGTACAAACAATAGAGAACTATGTTTTTTTTTTCACTTTTCTCCAAAATCAAGACTCGATGATAATTTTATTAGAATCCTCATCGACATTATACACTTTTGACATTATACATATTTCATCAAAAGATATCGAATTCAATTCTTTTTTCCATCAAGACAATGCCCACGCATTGCTGCAAAGAGAAAAAATTGCATAATCCTTTGTGTCCTTCAAAAAATGTCATCCATTAATTGTATATATTTTCCATCATCCTCATCATCGTCTTCATTCTCTTCTTCTTCCTCTTCTCATCTCTTCTCCGCCACTTCTTTTTTTCTCCCACTCGCCAAAACCGCCGTTCGTCATATTCTGACAACCGCCACGCACCCGCTTTTTATTTGAATGAGCCATGAGCTCCATCCACTCGTTCGTCACGGAGTGTGCGTAGTGTGTCTATGTGTCGATGAGTGGAAGTCTTGCATGGGTCTCTTTTTTTTGTTGTTGTTGTTAGGTCCCTCACACTCACTTGGTTTGCTGTTCTCGCCGAGGGTTATCCTGTGTCCACTTATATATACTTACCTTTCGTTCTGTCTTGGAACCTCTGATAAACACAATTGATTGTTTTTTGTCTCTCTCTCTCTCTTTTTTTTTCTTTCTTTCTCGGTTCTTAGTTCACCATCTTAGAATTTTTGTTCCTGTCTACTATAAATCGATTAGAAATCAATTTCGTAACAAATTCTGTTTCTTTCTTTTCGCTTAATCCTTATTCTAATCAATTCATGATATTCTTCAGATGGGTGACAAACACATCAACGATGGTCCTGGTGAGGAAGACGATGGTTTTGAGGATTGTGTACCTGGGGGACTTCGTCCGAACTACAAGATCCCAATTCTCCTGACAGAGATGAAAGAGGAAGTACTGGATGAGATCATTCAGTCCGAAAACAACGTTATCAGTTGTGCGTTGTGTAGCAGTCGATTCACGGATTTTCCAACGATGAAGGGTCATAATGAGGATTGTTCGGGACAACCGAATAGGAGTAATGTGCAAGAATACGTGAGTGATAATTAAGCTTATTCATTTGGATGGCTCGTGGATTCATTTTTTCAGAGCGAGTTCATCTAAAATGAGTTTCCATTTTTTTTTTGCAAGATAAGAACCACTCTGGGCATTAACTTTTTAACTTAACAATGTTGAAATTTGTAAACACGGAAAAATTATGCCATACTGCAAAACGTGTAAAAGGAGAAGCCCGACTTTGAGCCAATTTATCTCGGTTCCTGTTACAGATATAAAAAATTTCCAACTTGTTAAATATTAATAATAATATTGTAAACGTTTTATCAGTTGACAGATTTTTGATATCTCCCACAGAAGACGAGATAATTAAGCTCAACGTCGACGGTTCGACAGAACCTTTTAACGTTAGAAGGCTAACGTTAGAATGTGGAATACTTTATTTCGTGTTTTCTCTTAGAAGTTTTAAGATACAGTAATACGGTAACAAGCACTTGTTGATTTGAGATAATTTTTGATTCTGAAATGATGAACAATTATATTCAAAAAATAATTCTTTAACTCATAATTCTTTAACGACAAGTTGCCGTATACACTCAAAAAGAATTCTTTGAGAATATCAGCTTTGAGCCAATTTAACTCGATTCCCGTGCAAAATTTCGGGAAATAGTCAACTGTTAAAAAATTTATCATAACATTGGAAACATTTTCACAGTTGACAACTTTTTGATATCTTTCACAGGAACCGAGATAAATTCGCTCAAAGTAGATGACTACATGGACATAATTGCTCAAATCGAAGCCCAGCACTTCAAACTTGAGCTGAAATATCTCGGTTCCTTTATAAATTATCAAACATATTTCAACTGATGAACTATTTATTTCAATATTACCCATATTTCACCAATTGGCACTCTTTTGATATCTTCCACATGAATCGAGATAATTAACCTCAAAGGGCACGTATAGGATGCGCTTCTATCAGAGCATTTACGGTAGATAAACTTCCTATTAGACGGTTTTTACAGCAAATAAGTAAAATTTGATGTTGATGCACATACCATACATCAGAAATCTGAGTTCAACGGACCATGAAGTGTAGACAAACTCAAAATAAAGGAAAGTGATTCATTTTAAAAGTTCAAGTGACCATTCAATTCCATACGACTTCCGGAATCCTTTCAGTGATCCGTGAAGAACCTCGATCTTTTGAAAATTCCCTTTTAAATATGTATGCGTGTAGCCTGATAGTAAATTCCCCACTTCATCTTCAAACTTCTAAAGAAAAAACTACTTTTGCTTTTTTTGCAGGAGATCTCTCAATATCACACGAATGCCTTAATGCTGTCACTCAAAGACATGTACGAAGCAGGAACGAGCGGTATGAACCCCACAAGGACAAGCACTAGGCTTCCTTTTCACATGGAGCCATTTGCTGGAGTCCATCAAGATCCCCATAGTCGAATAGCTGGACATTTGGCTATCGTCACATGTCGGATGTGCAAGTGTCAGTTCTTGTATCGAACGGAAGAAGTAGCAAAGGACAAGCGGAACCAACCTAGCGTTCTTACGGACGATGAAACAGATTTCGACCCAAGTCTTATTAAGTATCATGTGAAACTGTGCCCAGAGTATCAGAAAGTTCATGATGAGTTCATGGTAAGAAACCAATTCAAGGATTAAGACTTATTTGGAACAATTTCCAGTTGCAAATGGCGCCGTCGGTGGAAAACGTTCGAAACCATTACAACAAGCTGTTCAATTCCTACAAATTGATCCGATCGGGAATTTACGGGTCAGGATTCAAAATCCGTAATGTGTCGGACCCGTTTTATTGGCGTGAAATGGGCACGATTCACGAGGCGGATGAGACTAATCGGGGATTACTGGTTGACCTGGAGAAGGCCGGACGACCTCACCAATTTCGGTACTTTGATTTCAAATTACATAGCATTGAACCCGAGAGTGTCGACTTTGTTCGGACGAATTATTTCAATTTGCTCAATGAGACACTGGATGCAATTTTCTTTACGAGAGTGACTGGATTGTGAATGAATAAAACTTTGAAAAGGGATGAAAGATTCTTGAATCGGGGACTTGTGGGTCGATCGGGTTCAAATCATGTTTTGAGTTATTATAAGTTTCAGTTCAACTATCTCCGTTTCTGTAAGTGCTATCAAAAGTTAATCAACCAATGAAATGTTGGTGATATTATGATAAACATTTTATCAGTTGACAGATTTTTAATAGCTTTAATAGAAGCTGTGATAATTGATCTCAAAGTTAAAGGACAGAGTAATACCTGCAATAGAAGGGTCCCTCAACTTTTAACTTCGAGCCAATATATCTCGGTTCCTATCAAAGATATAAAAAAGTTATCAGCTGATAAATTGCTTATCATGATATTACAAACATTTTGTCAGTTAGCGCATTTTTATTATCTTTTACACAAAATGAGATATGTGCTTTCAAAGTTGACGATTTGGGAGCATTCTATTTACGGTATACTGTATTACTCAAATTTTTCAGCTTCATGTTATTTGACCATGCAAAAATTTGAAAATAAATTGAACTCTAAACATGATTTTGCCTTGATTCACCCTCCAAGTCTTTTCTTGAAGCTCATTATGTTCCGTTTTCATTTAAAAAATTGTTGATTTATAATGTCTTACGTTTTTTTCCGATCTTCAATTTCAAAATGCTCCTGATCCATGTTGGATAAATTGTACATACATTTCTTTTCAAAATAAAGTTTTTCGTATATAAAAAAAAAAAAGTATGTAAAAAAATTTTCGTATGTAAAAAATCAGAGTTTTTCAAATAGTGAGTTGGAGAATCCCGGTTTTTAATTTCTCCTGAAAAAAATCAAAAAACTTTTCCCAACATAAATGTTTCGTTTTTTGTCGATTTTCACAAAAATGGATTAAATATCATAAACCAAAAAATCAGCAAAACCCTGCATAAATTTGTATAAAGAGACCAAAATTGAAAAGTAGCCAATTTCTTGATTTCTTCCAAATTTTTCAGAAACTTGATTTTTCGAAAATATAATTTTGGGAAATTTTTCGGAAACCCGATCTTTCAAAAAAAAAAATTTCAGGAATCTTTTCGAGGTTCTTGATTTTTTAAATCGATTTTTTTCGGTTTCAAAGATCAACCCCTGGTTTTGTTACACGCTTTTCAACTGTTGTATCTTCCTCTCATCACATACCTCTCTTCTCGCCAATCTTCGCATTACACACACGTACTTCTGCCATTCCCCCTCTCTCCGATTATCTCTGCCTTTCTCTTGTTGAAAATCCTCTAATCTGGTTTCACACCCACATTCGCGACCCGAGACAAATGCGCTCCACCAGAGGCGCCCCGGAGTTTTAGTATCTTCTATTTCTCTTCTTTTTCTTTTCCGAGCTTCTCTTTTTACTTTTTCGTTCTTTGCATGCTCCTCCGGGAAGTGCGATACGAATGAAAAAGAGCGGGTGGGAGGAGAAAGGACACGAGAAAAAGGCAAACATCGATCTTCAGTTTTGCCCTCCCGCACCTCTTGCATGGCAGTGCAGATGCTCTTGCTTGATGACTTCAATGATTCAGTTTTTTAGGAGTTCTTATTTTTTTTTGGGCTTTATTCGCTTCTCATTTTTTTTAGAGTTATCAGACGAGGGGCTTGTTTAGGGAAGATGAGTAACCAGACAAACCGTCAATTTTAAATTCAATCCTTTAAATTTTTGTGAAAGATATCAGTATTTTGTCAACTGCTGAATTATTTATCCTCATATAACCAATATTTTATCAGTTAACAAAATTTTGATGTCTTTCACAGAAATCGAGATAATTCAGCTCAAAATTGACGGGTTGCGCTGGCTTTAATTATAGAATATACAGTAATTTGAGAAAAACCTGGAATGAGATTGCTAAAATCACATTTTCAGTTAATTGTTTTTCAAATGAGATTGTAATAGTTTTTAGATATCCCAATCTCGATAGCTTTCTAGTAAAATTAAGAATAGTGTAATTAAAAATGCACACGCAAACTTAAAATGCATAGTTTTTCAAATTTGACTCTCTGTATGCAAACTATCCGGCTGTTTAGCCTTCTAACTTTACATCGTTGAAAGAAACAGTTGGTCCCTTAGTACCATAGACACTCTACAATGCGAGTAAACACATTGAGTTGTAACACTGGAGAACCATCTAACCTGTGTAGTCTTATCTACCATCTTGCTGCCTTTCCAGTTGTTCGTTTCTTCCCTACAGTGTCTCTTCCTTGTGTGCCGATTATTAAACTAATCTCATCTGCTAGTCGTTGCAAGACGAAGAAGAATGAACGTTCTTTGCCTATCTTGCAAAAAGGTAACCTTGAGATTTTGTATTACTGACCCCATTCCTTTTGAAACTTTCCTTATCGTCAAAAGATCTTGATGAGTGATAGCTGAGATATAAATATGATAAGAATGTGGGTGGATGGGACGAGGAGAGAAAGTTGAAAACACGCCCAATTTCGGTGTGTTGTCAGCAATTAGGAGGCAGATTAGTTGAACTGTCTTGTGACATGTGGCTTACTTTTGGTCGATTTTTGTTTCAATTGGTTATCTTACTTTTCATGATAAGAGGTTTTGTCGTAATCGAAAGTGATTACAAACTATTATCAGATTGACATTTGTATTATAACTTAGAGATTGAATGCAAGATATCCAAAATGTGTTAATTGCTAAAATGTTGGTGATATTATAGTGAACAATTGATCAGTTGACAACTTTTGTAAATTTTTGACAGGAATCGAATCGAGATAATAAGGTCAAAGGTAAAAAATACTGTACTTCCTTTAATATAAGCTCATTTCAGCCTTCAACTTTGAGCTCAGTTATCTCGGTTCCCGTGAAAGATATCAGAAATATGTCAACTAATAAAATGTTAGTAATAATATTATAAACAAGTTATTAGTTGACAACTTTTGGATATCTACAACAGGAATCAAGATAATTGAGGTCAAAGTGTGAGATATTTTTTGAAACAGGGAGGATGGAAACAGTATTTCCTTCAATTACCCAATCCACTTACTTTGAGCTCCCTTATTTGGATTATTGTAAAATATATCAAAAGTATGCCAACTTATAAAAAATTGGATATAATATGATAAGCAATTTATCAGTTAACAAATTTTTGATTTCATCGACAGGAACATAGATAATTGAGCTTGACGTTGCTGGTATGGATAGGCTTCTATTAGAGGAACAGCTGTAATGTAGTTTTCTGGGATCTCCCCACCTTTTTTCCCTAGTTCAGCAAGTTTCTCCCGAACATATGATTCGCCAAACTTTCCCTTTTCCCGTATACGTCATTAAACAAAATACAAAAAGTTCCCCGTGCAAGTACGTCATGCCACTTCTCCTCCGAACTCTGTTCTCTTTGTCCTTCCGGCCCATTTTGCAAACTGTTTGCCAATGCTTCCGCTAATGAACCAGTTCTCCCATCTCCTTTTTGTTACTTTCCTTGTGACTGAAAAAAACCCATTGGCAGAAACATACACCGGAATTTTCATTTCATTCTTCTTATTCTGGCGGGTCGGTGTCGCATTTTTTTGTTCTCGTACTCTCTTCTCGCTGCCTCCGATAACAAATCGTATGCCTTTCCCGTCATATTTCCCGTTTATGCGGGCTTGTTTTTTTTGTCCGTTGCCTCACTTCCCCGTTTTCGCCGATTCGGATTTTATATAATATATCGGCTGTCAAAAAGACTTTCGGAATATATGAAAATTTGTAAATATCCCTTCTACCGTAGTCTTGGTATCTTCTCAACTTTCTCATTTCTGCCAACTTTTTTTTTCCGATTAGTGATGTTTTTACTTTCTTCTTTTTTTTCCTTCTTTCAGCCCAAGAAAAAAACAAAGCAAAACAAAAAATTCGGGTGTCTTCCTTGTCTGCTTCCGCCATGGGGCCCCAGCTGACGTTCTCTATCTTTTCACTGCTAATCGGTTTCTCTCGTGACTTCCTTGTTCTCACGTACTCCGCCTTCTTCTTCGTTTTCTTCTCCCTTTCTTATTTGCCATTCATTATTTTCAATCACACGTCTCTTATCTCGTCTGTCTTTTTTTTTGATCCACAGCTGATACCAGCCCAATCAAATGATCACATCTTTACAGGGAAAATCATGATATATGATGATATCCCCGAACGAGCTTACGCAGTTTATTCGACACCACTTGATATTGACACCATTGGTGATCAACTAGGTAAAACCTTTCCATTTTCTGAAAAACTGAAATCTCTTTTTCAGCTATCCACAGTCTTCAATGTTCTGGCTGTGATGTTTTATTTGACGATGAAATTGAGTTTGCTGTACATGCGGATCAGTGCCTTCGTGGTGTTGAACATGACACTCATGTATGTTCCAAAAACCTATACTTGTAAACCGGGCCTTTACCAGGCTTTTGCGGAATTCGCCATTGCTTTTTTGAGAATCAATATTTTTGAACCAACTAAATCAGATATGATACAACTCAAGGAGTACTACAAAATGATAATATGGTAAGAAAGTTATCTTGTCTATGAACAAAGTTGCAGACGAAATGAACCAAAAAAAAGGTCCAGCCCGGCCACTTTATCTAGTACCAGTTTGTAGTACTTGTTGGGTTCTATCATATCTGATTTAGTTGGTTCAAGAATATTTAATGTTGAAAGATATGTGGCAATGCCCGCGTAAGCCCGGTTTACAAGGATACACAAATCTTTTTTTTAATCAGTTAAAGTTTAAATTTTCCAGCACGAAGTCCACAAGCACGCCAATCGCCTTCTAATGTTCCAACAACGGGTCGCTCTCTTCTGTGGCGCATCTCAGGGGCCAGTTCTGGAGTGCGGACTCTGCAATACAACTTTACCAGATAGAGAAACCTTGAGAAGACATATCAGAGCATGTAGCAGACACAGCGAGCGTTTTCAAAGATATGTTGTAAGTTGAAATTCTGTCCTACAATCAAAAATTGTGTAAATTTCAGCAAGAAACTGGAGTCTTCTTCAACTGCATGCTCTCGTCATATGAAAAGCTGGGATTTCTATTCCAAGAATATGTTACTGATAGCCATATTGAGGATATCAAGGAGCAACGAAAACAAAGAATCCTTGAAGGAGAACCACCATACATTGGATCCAACAATCGTCATTTGTTCTTCAACGAAATCGAGGAGCATTTTGTGGAGCAGTATCAAGACTACCTATCTGCGGTCACCACTCTCATTTATGACTCTTTTCTGTATTACTTGAAAAAGGGAGACACCAATCGCTCCGCCGAAGAGGTCCTTTGCCCATTACCAATCAATAGACAAGGTGTGCAGTTCTTGATCGAACAAGAATATTCTAGAAGAGAAGCAGAAAGCCAACGAAGAGCCTCTGAAGCTGCGAAAACTGCAAGAATTGCCAGATTAGAAGCTTCGAAAGCTAAGAAAGCCGTGGCAGCAAGATCAGCAGTGCCAAGAAGCACCAGATTAAGAAAACGTCGTGCTTGTGGATGTGGTTGCGGAAATTAAGTGAATGTTCATATAAAATGTATACTTTCAATTTTATTAGCATCTTTTCCTCTCTATTCACCCATCAAATTAGTTCTTTTGCTTATTCAACAAACAGAATGTTTCAATTTGTACCTTTGATTAGATTACTTGCCTTACAAAAAGCGAATGTTGATCATTTTCTTACCCTCATAGACACCTTATTCTTTTTTGCACTTTCCCAGTTACAATCCGATGAGACAATTATTTCAAAAATTCAAAACAAAGTTAAAATTAGTGTTCAAAAGTGCTTATAGATAACCCTACTGTAGATTCGTACATTCAAATGGTTTCGGTCATTCAGACTTTGTATTGTCATTTGTTTTATTTCTATCCGGTAAGAATAAAGTCAAATAACTATTCGAAAATAACTTGAATTTCCAAATTTTCAGATTTTCATTTTCAGATAAATTCAGAAGTTTCAGATGAAAAAATGTTGGAACCAAATTTCAAATCGAAAAAATAACTCGCACATGAAAACTCCGCGATCGGCGCTCGTGTCGATTCACGAGGCCCGCCTCAAAACCGCTACAGTTAAAAACGTCTTAATTTTTAATAATTTCATCGATAATCATTTTGAAACACAGATAATCGCGATTTTGGAGTTACTATTGCGTTTTGTCGTTGTTGGCAGTTTTAGAGAGTGTTTGGAAGATTCATTGGTTCAGACTCAGTCCTATGGGAATCCGACAGACTTTTCATTGTTTTCATGTCGTTTTTGAGATTTTTCTTCTCTTTTTATCTTAACTATTGTCCTAAAATGTTGGCTATCGGAATTTGTCCTTCGTTATCTTTCTTCTATTCATTTTGCCAGTCCTTCGTCTCATATGTATAGTGTGTAATCCTCCCGCCTCCCATTTTGCCTCTTCCTCTTCATCTCGTCTCTTGAAAATGCATAACAATAGAGAGGTTGGCTGATCAATTCTGCGGCCCTCGTCTCCTTTTTTCTCTTCCACACGGCTCACTTTTCTCTAAATCTCTCTATTTACAACGCTCTTACAAGGACGACCGCTACGCTTGCGACTGCGACCGCGACGCGCACTGTTTTTGATGCATATGAACGTTTACTTTGCTTATTTGGGATCTTTTTTATCACTTTTTATATATTTCAGCGTAATTTTTTCGGCATAATCCATCTCATTTTTTTAGGCGATGCCTGCTGAGGAGGGTTCTACCAATAACGACAATGTCTTCGTCTTGGAAATGGACGGATTTCGTGGGGATCTTCACTGCATGACTTGTCTCAAAATTTGCAACTACGAAGAGGGAGCTTACTGCTGCGATGCCATGGAGCGCATGCCAGAAGCAGATGTAAGTATTTTTGTAGAAGCTAACTTTGATAGTTACTACTAAACTCAAAATTATCATTAAATCTTCAAAAATGATCAGACTATAAATAAATCCCTTTTTTCAGAAGAAGCGGGAGAGCGACTTCTTCAAGATCTGCCTTCAACGCCACGCTATCGACCAGATGGTCAAGGCTCTGATTGCTGGAAAGAAAGTTGTCGACAAGAAGGGAAAGTGTGTCTTTTGTCGCACTAGCAAGCAGCACAACGAGGAGAAATGGTGCGAGGGGAAGACTGTCATGGAGCTTTACTTGGTGAGTATTTAAGGATTAGAAAACGGAAAACAATAGAAGGCTGGTCCTAGAGATGCTAGAGCCGTTCATTGAGCCATAATCCATCATAAAAAATAAGGCGATCGACATCATAGTTGTGGTGTTTTCTGTCCCACGGTGGGACCGGCGGCCCCATCATCGGACTGCCGGACCAACGAATTCTGATAACGGCCTCAAATGATCTAATCGTGGTCTCAGTGTTCTGATCATTGTCTCTCTATCCGTAGTCAGAATATTGAAAGTTTGTGGGGACCGTCAGTCTGATGATGAGACCGGCGGTCCATCCTTGGGACGGTCGGTCTGATGATGAGACCGGCGGTCCCTCCTTGGGACCGTTCTTCCCGGAAAATGCCGTAGTTTTGTAGCCCGCTGCGTTTATCATATCAGAATCTCAACCAACAGTTTGAAAATCCGCGTTGAATAACGAAAATCAAGAAAATTCAAAGCATTTTGCAATCTGAACAACTGGTTCAGCCTGAACTATGCTACTGCTACTGAAGTTTCTAATCTTGTTCAAGTCCACATGCAAAAATTAGTAGTCAATGACGTTACAACGAAACCCCGAAGAATGTGTGTCAATCCATGATTCAACCAATTTTCAGCACCAAGTTGACAAGGAGGAGCGCAAAATCGATCGTCACTTGGAACGCTTCCTCAACACCCGTCTACAAAACAAGAAGCAAGCTCTCAATCAAGTCCAAGCTCGCATCACACGCGAAATGAAAGCTGCTCATGAGCGAATGGGGATGAACAAGTTCGAAAGCATCCACATCCTCAACAAGCAAGGTCGGGATGCTCGCAAAATGCAGAGAAGAGAAATCGAACACGTTGAGACTGAGAACGAGAATATCAGAAGGCGTCTGGCAAAGAAGCTCTTGATTAAGAGAGAACAAACCGAGGAGAAGATTCGCAACTCCGAGAGACCAGCTATCCAATTCGAGAGAGGCGTTCAAAATCCAACCCAGCATACATAAGTTCTCAATCATTAAGTTTTGGTTTTGCTTTTTTTACGTCTGCTCCTACATCATCCTAGCTCTGTATTCATGTATTCATGCTAGCTCTGTATCCATAAAACCTCGTCCTGTAAAAAAAATCTGTAAAAATGTTCATAAACAATGCTTACCACTGTCCCAAACTCCCTTCCAGACATTCGAACGTACCCTACCATGTACATTTCGTGGCACTTTTTCGATTTAACCGTAATAAACTGTTAAAGTAAATTCAATTTAACATTTTTCAAAAGCTCCTATTCTGAATACAGTCAGCGGTTTCAGAAATGCGATTTTTAGCACCTAGGCCTCATAAATCGACACGAACGCTGTCGGAAGGCTTTGCAGGTAAGGTTTTTTCAGCTAGGATTAATTATAAACAGCCAGATTAAATTGGAAATCCGCTCTGCTGACTCAAAAAGCAACTAAGTTCTGAAAAATTGCATTTATTTCATTTGTTTCACTGTATTTTTCTGAAAATTGGCGGACGTTGGACCCCCGAAGCTCTGAAAATTTCCTCTTTTAAAAAATCGTTCTTAGGCGCTGACGAATCTAATTTCTGTTCAGACAAAGGCGCTGTCTTGTGAGTCACCTTCTTTGGTCCCTCTCCCGCTAGTACCGCCTCCAAAAATTTTGTAAGACATTTTTTTTTTAAATTTTATTTTTCACTGACCACCAACTGGTTACGGAGTTCTCATTCGGGAGTTTTCAGACAAAATTCTTTCAGTGAGTAGAATCTGAAAATTCTCTTGCTTTTTTCTAAAATGTCTACTTATAAGTTATATAGAAAACACTTTGTCGAAAATGCAGCTGGACTCAATTTCTGGACGTTTTGAAGATAAGTGAGCTTTCTTTTTGATATATTCAAAAATTGACTTTTTTCAAATTATAAGTTGCCGAAAAAACTAGTGGTGTAACCTTCAAAATGTTAGTCGTTGCTTTGTCTACTGCAGATTTTTCGGGTGTCTCAACATTTGTGATAGTATGATAGGTCCTTTTAATATCATTTTGCGCAAAAGTTCACGAAATTTAGAAACAATTTCATTAACCAATTTTATTATGAGATAAGATAAGAACAGAATACAATTATTACAAATTTTAGGTGCACTCCTCCATCCTCGCAGACCGTCCACTCCGTGAGCTGTATGGATCCATGCTCTATCAGACGTCTGAAAGATGTTTGAAATGAACTAATACAGGTATGTTTAATTTTATTTTGCGCAAATGATCAATTTTTGGGAATTTCTTGAAGTTTTTGGGCATTGTATTTTGACTCTTTCTGTCTACTTGGTTTGAAAACACAGTTTGCTCAAGAATTTCTTCGAAGCTCACCTTATTGAGGTATCAGAGACCTTATTGTATCAATAGAAATTCCAGAAAAAAGCAAGAGAACTCTCAAAATGAAAACTCCCGAATAAGACATCCGTAACCAACTGGTGGTCAGTGAAAAATACAATAATGATTGATGGAAACATTTCTCACAATTTTTGGAGGCGGCGCGTTGAAGAAAGTCCGAAGCCCTCGAAACAGAAAAATCGGAACATGGAAAGACATTGCTTTCATCTATTGCGATGTCTTCGAAAGCTTTGAAGGCGTGTTATTGCAAACACAAATTGATAAGTGTTGGGGTCAAACGAACATTGCTGTTACCGGACCTCGAATCGGTAAAATATATTTTTCCAACAACTTTGAGAAGAAAAATCCCAATCCCCATGGGTTTATTCATGTACCGAAAGAGTGCATTTCAAAACGCATTTCAATACATTTCGGTGGCCCCGAAATGTATTGAAATGCATTTCGCGACACACCTGCATTAAATTTCGGTGCAGACTTTCGCTACATGAATAACCCCATTACTGTAAGTAACAGTGTTCTTTTGGAAAATCATAATTCTAGACATTCATGTAACAGAAAAAGGAATTTTAACAGTGGAATATCACGCAACTTTTAAAGACGTTCGGTTTTTGCAGCGGATCCTTCGTAGGGAGGGGGTGCAGAAGGCAAACGAGACGAACATTCTGTTTTGAATGGATTAGTTGCAGGCGTCAAAGGAGAACGGCGGTGGCAAAGACTCTGTACGATAAATGGCCGGAGGAGCAGATGGAATTGATTTTGAAGGATTTCCTTCTACTTGGTTTCTCTTCGGAACCATAACAATATCAAATTCGCAGTACAATTTGTTGTTAAGTGAGGTCCGTGACCAATTCAACCGACAAAGAGTGCATGTTTTCGATAATCGGAAATTTCAGAGTCGGTGGAAGTACATAGGTAATATTGAGCTCCAGTTTCTCCCGTCCGTGTGTTTGACTCTCGATGTGTATATCCTTCCGATTTTTCGCTAGTTGTTTGCTTTCTATTTGGTGATGAAAGGAATAGAGCGTGATTGGTGTGTTCTGACAGTAGAAATCAGAACATCGGTGAAGTTCGGCACGAATACAGGTAACTGATCGTTTCGAAGCGTTATCGATTTCCAGCGTGATGGTGAGCATCTCACCAGGAACTAGTATTTGTTTAGGTACTGACACCTGAAGTATCAACTTTCTCAAAATTCTTTTACAGAATTTTTACCGTAATTTCAACAACTCCTTTCTTGAATATTATTCCAATTTCTTTTTCAGCTTGCTTTGTAATTCTAGTGTTCTCCGGTTCAAATCTTGGGAAAACTGAAAAGGCTTATAATTCAGAAAAAGAATCATTCGGTATACCTCTGAAGACTTTTTTCACCGTTTTATTATATTTGCAAGCCGATCGGCCCATTTCCACGCGAATTTAATAACTTATGTGCCCGTAACGTCTTTCAAAACTTGGTGGGCAATCGGTAGGTAGCAGAAAGGAAAATGGGAAAGATTGTTCTCCAGGTAGGAATGAGTTCTAGAAATTTATTGTCAATGGTAATCTATTTTTTAGAAGCTTTCGATTCCATTTTTGGGAAACCAGGCCACCTTTTCGGCTCTAGTATGAAATTCTGGTCCTTAAAAAAAATTCTGGTCCTTAGAAAAAATACTGGTCCTTAAAAGGTGTTCATGTAAATATATATTTTTTATCGGAAAGTTTCGTAAAATCCATGAATTTTGTTATTTTATTCTGTTTTCAAAATATGTTCATGGTAGACGTTGAAATTTTGTTATCAGAAAGGAAATATATGTTGCAAGTATCAACGTCAATTGCGCCCGTAGTCCATCTTCTAAAGGAACATCAGGAAAATTGAAATTATACAAATTTTGAGTTCCATCAAATTTAAAAAATTCTAGTTGATAAAAAATAAGACCTAAAAGTACCATGTCTATCAGATGCCCCAGGGCGAGTAACGTTCCAAATATAGGTAGAACATTTGAATTACGAGACTTATGTCAATTAAAAAAATATTTGGCTTTTCTTGATTTAACGGTGGTTTCAAGGATAAACGTTTTTTTTGTAATGAACGAGGATTTTGAAAATAGACACTTCGTGTGATTTGCAAGATATTGTGAGACTTTAATAGGTTTTTCCTTATTTTTACTTTTTTCCGAGCAACCTTTACGGAAAAAAGACCGTACTTATTGCTTATAACCTACGTACAAACTTGTAGTGCAATAGTCATATCCGTTATAACAACATTTTAAAAGTAATGAGGCTTACGGGATGTATGGTGTGGAATGGGGTACTTCTGTTCACATGTTGTAGGAACCGTCTAGAATAACTTAAAGGTGGGGGGACAGGAGATTTCACGGGGGATTTTTGGGGCCAGAGTATGCATTCTACCGTCACGGTGTACAACGCTTAATGTCACTCTGCGTACAGCTGTCGCCCTCGCCTTTATGTATGCAATCGGGCAGCGGCTTTCTCTTTGCACGCGTAGCTCAGTCGGTAGCGGCGCCGCACCTTCAATACTTGTCTCGACAAGTTCAACTCCTTGAGGAGCATATTTAAACGGGATTTCGACAACATTATTTTTCTCATGTCCCCCCCCCACCTTTAAACATGGATTTGAGATTGTGCACTAATTTAAGAAGCTTCAGGCATTTACATGTTTTTGAATAAGAAAATAAAAACATTCAATCCAAACTATACGGATATTCTTTCTTGTTTTGAATGAAGCCGTCAAGACAGCCTTCTTGAAAAAAGATGTCTTGAAACTATGGTTAACAAATTACATCCAATAAAAACATTTTATATCTGTAAACTCGAAATTTGTTTTTTTTCAATTTTTATTTATTTATTTAATCCTCAAGTTTTGTTAGCACTAGACAATCTTCACGATATTTTCTGTACGAAAACAGTGAAGAAATGAACATCAGAAATTTATTGAATAAAATTATTTGTACAGGAAAAGTGATTTGAAAAGGAGAACACAAAAAGTTTGAAAATAATGAAATTCAAATTTTTGTCACTGCCATTGACTCATCATATGTTGGTGGTGGGGCAGATGGACTAGCAGAATCATCTGACGGAGCTGTAGGCGTTAATGAGAAGTATGGTGGTGGCATGGATTCGGTTCTATCACCTGGTGGAGCTGTGGGGGCCAAAGATGACACTGCGATTGGGATAGCATTGTTGATAATTGATACAGTTCCAATTATGAGATTGAATTCGCAGTGCAGGGTGTTATTCAGTGAAGTCTCCGTGTCCAATTTCACTGACAAACAGTATTCGACACCGATGATTGGACATTGAAAGCTTGGAGCCAGCTTCGGAATTTTCATCATCAGCTGTTCACGTCCATGTGTTCGAGCCGTGATTTTAATGTTTTTCCGAGTCTCAGCGACTCGCTTGCTATCGTCTTTGTGATGATCGTGACAGGATGAGTGGGAGAAAAGAGAGTTTCGACTAGCATTGTAGTGTGAATTTTGCTTGAGCTCGGCACGAACACAGTAGGCTGCCCTTTTTGAACAATTGTCAATATCAATGGTAATGGGTAGAGCTTCTCCAGAAGCCACTGCTTGCTTTGGTATAGTTACCTGAAATTTTGAAAATTTGCAACTGTAAAGCTGATGTGCCCTAAACTCACTGTCATAGTTACAATTCCCTTCTTGAAAATCGCGCCAATATCTTTTACGTCTTTTTGCATTATGGGGGTGTTACCGTATGGGAGGTAATTCAGGTCGAAATTCGGTACAACTAAAGTAGTTTTAGGATTAAGCATCATTATTTTGAAGTAATCATTTTACCTTTAAAATACTCCCTCTCTTTTTTATTGAAATTCCATGGTCTATCCAGTTCAACGCGGATCGAGTAACGAATATGGCCGTGGAAGCCTTCATAACTCGGAGGACAGTCGACAGGAAGGGGGAAAGAAAATGGAAAAATGTGGTTTCCAGGTTGCAATGTGTTCTGAAATGTACTGTCATGCTAAGGAAGCAGGTAAGAAACTCACAGTTCCATTTTTTGCACTCCATGCAATGGTTTCTTTAGAAACATAGTTAATTTCAGAGGCGTATTGGACGGTTTCAGTGTAACACTCACTCGTCCCGTTGCAATCCCTGTGTCTTTGCTCACTTTCATTCCATTTCGTATGAGCAGCTCCATGGATGCAGATTTTCAAATAACGAGCATTTATCGCAACGCTCGTTTGAAAAACAGCTCGGCCAGTGACATTTTGTCCAGGAGTGAATTCCGGTTGGTCGAATACAATTGTGAAAGTGTTCATTATAAAGTCAGAAGTGACTCTAGTTGAATGAAATAGGAAACTGATAAGAAAATTGTGGTTATCAGCAATTTTTCATATCATTTATATACAGTTTAGTGCTCCATAAAATATGACTCAAATAGTTTAGTAGATTGTAATTAATGTCGTCATCAGGCTTGTGCTCTACGTTAGACGGTGAGCTTTTGAACTCGATGAAGTCATTATTACGAGTTGATTCTAAAATTAACAGTGATTCATTCTAGAAAATAAACTAATGGAAAAGCGTACACTACAACAGGAAGCTGAAACATGAGTTGCTGAATCAGCAGTATGATTTACTTGAAGTTTGTGGTCCCTGAGAAAGTAGCGGTTCGATGAGGAAATTACGGCACCATGTAATAATATAGGTCCCATCAATGAATCTCATAAAATTCACTGACGACTTAACCAAAACATCCCATTCTCAATAGGTCCTTTGTTTATTACTTGGACCGTAGTTTTCCAAAATGACTCTAAATTCATTTATGGGTCAGTTAAATAATCGTTGAGTAAAGTTTAAAATAGCCGAATGTTTTGAATACTTAGAAAGATGAAAACCTGCATTAATTGCGAGATTACTACTTAGAATAGCAGAATGAAATCAACCAAAGTTTTGTCTCATCCTGCTCAGAAAACATAGAACTTTTAGAGAATCCGAAGCAATATCAGGAAGTTGAGTGGTTTTTAGATCTGTCTGTCATTTCACCCCCGTCATGGAAACGTAATGATTATGAACAAGATTAGATTGAAGCTTTATTGATCACTTAAAGAAAAAACTCAAAAAAAAAAACATTCTGAAAATGATTCCAAGAAACTGCATTGCTCCAGTTACTCGTGTTGTCTTCTCTTGAGGTACTTTTGTGAATAGAAGAAGCAATTTAAGGATTCCTCCTGAAACAAAATTTTAATTTCCTGCCACTTGGCATCACCATTCTGAGGATTGACTTCCGATACGTTTTAATTATGAAAATGCTTGGCAACGGGTCGATGGCTGTATAAATAGAGATGGTTACTGATATGATCGGACTCGCTAATGGAAGATTGATATTGAAAATAGGAAAAGCAAAAACAAAGAACAACGGTAGATACATCAATACCGCTGGTATGAGAGTCTGTATAACCAATGCGTTGAAGAGCTGGTGCTGCAATGTCTTAGCCACTTTGGACTGCGTCTGAATTATCGCAAACGCTTTGGTTATAGTTTTGTAGCATTTTATGCCACAGTAACCCACACAAAACATAGACGTGAACTGAAAGGAATAGTTTTGTGATCTGTTTTGCACAATTCCTGACTTACACTCATAAACCAGACATTTGCCATCGCCGTCAGTGTTTTCCAGTTTGGGTGAAGTTTTCCATCATTGCTTGGCCAATAGAAAAGAATCACCATAATAGCAGCTTCTTTTGTGTCATAATAGAAATCTTCATGGAAACCGATACTGTAATTTTAGCATTGAAAATGTTTCATTGTTTTGGCTACTCACTTCAAGTACTCATCAGTGAAGTCATCAAAATGAAACATTGTTGCGCTGATAGTAAACCACCAACATCCATACACAATTGGTATTATGAACAGAACACACATTTTCTTCCCGTTAATATACTTTTCACGAAATTCATTATTTAGGGAGCCGTACCGATAAACAAAATGAACACCGAAACAGGCCAGTGAGAAAGTAAAACACGCACAGTATGCAACCACCATGTGGAAACTGAGTTCACGGCTGAAAAATGAGTCCTTGCAATGACGGAAAACTGTGAATGCGGAGCCATAGGAGTACACAACTGGTTTCCAGACTACATCCCAAACTGAGTAGAAAATGTCAAATGCTGAGATGTAAATCATGAGATATTTATATGCGCCCAATGACTTGGGAGAGCGAAAAATGACAAGAGAAATAAGAACAATGTTGAAGATGGTAGCGCATCCTGAACAAGTGTACTTGAAATAGTTGACAATATTCCTCCAGAGCACGTGCTCACTCATCGTTGTTTTACGATATAAAAACTGAGGAATTGATATTTAGTTTTTTATGTTATTATATGTTTTCTTATTATAACATAAGAGTCTCCAGAGAATCGACTGTATAGTCAGAAACCGACAATAACAAGTGTCGTGTCAAGGATCTGTCTGAACATTTTGTGAGAAAAACATTTTGACGTCACAAGAACAGTCTGCGTAAAATTAACCATAAACTTGGAGCTCATACTGTAGTCTGATCTATAGTTTTTATTGTATTATAATGTTTAGCGGTTGTCAAAAGTCTCGGTTAAAACTAGTTAAAACAACACGGCGCCACGATTATTGAAATTTTTTGGAACCGATATGCCTTCTGGGCGGCCCCGCCAAGTCACATGAAGCTAAGCTGGATAGTGAACCAATTTGATCCGGACGCGTGAACCAAGTTCTGTCCAACAAATTCGAAATTTTTTTGAAAGCGATCTGTGAGGCCCAACTAAATACAAGGTCCTTATAAGGAACCTTATGTAGAATTTTCCCAAAACTGTCCAGTTTAAGATGCAATGTCTGAATTTCTATGCAATATATCTGCGTCAACTGACAAAACAACTTTTAACAGAACGCCGTTGCAGTTTTTTTCTCTCTGCCATTTAAAATTAAACTTGTAACGCTCTGAAAAGGGTTTGAATTGTCTCTTACTTCCCAAGTTTATCAATGTCTTTCAAATCATTCATAATATTCAACACAAATATATAGGTTTATTGCAGGAAGTTCGATGATTGAGAATCTAACTAAAACGTATAATCACAAAATTATCCATGGATCTGTATATTGAGAACTAGTTGAGGAAAAAAAGGAGATTGATGAAAACTGGATTATCCTTTAGTGTCGGTTGCCTCAGAGCATTTTGATAGCTTCTCCTAGCCGATCTTGATTTTGTTGAGAGGACGCGAAATCGCGGAGCTCGACGAGAACGAAGAAGCGTTTGATTTCTGCTGAAAATTCGGAAAATATAGCAAATTATGTAAATTTCAGAAATCAAACTCGCCGTAGAAGATGATGAGGAAGTATAGCTCTTCGAGCATTCCCATCAGCATCTGAAGCTGGAACTCATCTCCTCCCAATCCTTTGGCGCAGATATGCTGTTTTGGATCGCACATCTCTCCGTATGGCATGGTTACAGAGGTGACAACCACAGGGATTGTGACAAGACACATCATAGCCCAGAAGAGATTGAGGATCTGATATTTTAAAAGTAAAAACTGTACCAAAGTGGTAAGGTGATACCGAGGTTTTGAGAGCGAAACCGAGAAGGCATCTTTTCTTAGCAACTCCGCTTGTGAGAAGGATGTTGTAGATGGCGAATCCGATGGAGAACCAGAATTGGGCTCGAACGAATGAGTAGCGGTCTGGAAGGGCTTTGAGAAGAACCGCGAAGTGAAAGATGACAGTGGCTTGGAGTGGATGGGTCCACATCCAGAGTCTAGTCTTGGCACATTGTAGCTAAAAATAAGATTTTGGTGGATTAAAAGGAAATTGAGTGAAACTACCCAGGAGCAATCACATTTCTGTTTGGGGTCGTCCTCTTTCTTCAACGGCAAATGAAGTAATGATTGATACTTCATTACCTGAAACACGATCTGAATTCTAACAGAAAATTTCAGAGAAAAAGAAAAGAAATCGTACTGCAGATTAAGAAGCGAAACAAAAAAGAGAGGAAAAAAGAAAGAGGTACACGCTCACGTGTTGCGCGTGTTGCCACTGACAACGGGTGCATCACGAGTAACTTCTCTTCTAACTAAAAAAAGAAAACAGAAGAGACGGCGCGGCAAGATATAATAACTATACCCATGCCATTTCACTCGGAAACAAATAACAATTGTGAAGAGCTCCTTGGAGAAGCGGTGTCTGAAAGAAAACTGATCAAACGAGGAGTCAGAAACTGAGAATGCGTTTTCTAATAACAAGGGAACCTACACCTAGATTTTGATGGAAATTGCTGGATAGGGTAGGAATAAATAGCCTATCTAGACATTTTAGAAAATGTTAGAATCTGATGGTTAGCTTCAGCCGAGTTATATCAATTTTAGTAAAAATAGTTTTTCGGTGGTGAAAATGAGTTTTCAGTATGAAAATGATAATTTTAAGGTCATATAATATCTCAATGTCAGACACTTTGAAAAACTAAGTTTGTTGTGGTATATGTACTTAGAATTGGATTAAACTCCTTATTTTCTTAAATTTCGTTCACAGTGTTGAGGATCCTTTATGTACATTTTTGTACGTGGAAAGGAACTATTGAAATCATAATGTCTCGATATTCTCATTGGCTTATTTTGAGTTACATATCTCCTTTTTTACATTTTTTAATTTTTCACTAAATTTTTAGTTTCAAATATAATAGGTTTATTGATGGTACAAGTTTTTGGAAAAAAAGATAAAAGGGGTTTCAAACAGAGGTAAGGAAGCCAGAATTTCTGGAAAAAGAGAGGGGAGGGGGCAGAATTTGTTGAAAACTCGAAACTCAGAAAAATGTATACAATACAAAAAATTAAAAGTAAACTTGTAGGTTACATTGTATCACTGACATTGGTTAGAAGATGAAATCAAAATCGTTGCGGTAGCAATGTGGGTGAAATACGAAAAATTCGAGTTCGTTATTCTCTACGGTGACGACTGCCTTGGTTCCATCTCTTCGCGCAATACAAACTCCTCCATCTTTTGGTCTGGTTACTAACTGCTGGTGGAGGTATCCGGGTTTGTTTGGTTGCTTGCGGTAAACTTCACTGGTCGAGTCATGACAAACCAATTTTCTAAATAGAGAATTTTCGTTGATTTCATTATTGACAGTCGTAACGTGCAAGTGTTCCAGTTTTGGTGCTGATCCATTCATCCACATGCGGAAGAATTGGTTGTATTTTCTTTCCGTGAAATTTCCATCAAGAACCTTCACGCTGAGGCAATTCGAAACTAGTGGCAAAAAATTCGGGGGGTACAATGATTCGGGGGTACAAGGGGGTACAACTGATTTAGGGGTACAAAATTGATGATTCGGGGGTAAAAAATTCGTGGGTACAAAAATTCGGGGGTACAACGATTCGGGGGTACAAACTACCAATGATTCTGGGGTACAACTCATTTCATTTAGGGGTACAACGCTTGTGATTCGGGGGTACAATTTTTTTTGAGGGAGTTTCTGAATTTCAGAGCTCGAAAACATCAGAGTTTCAGAACTTCAGAATTTTGAAATTTCAGAATCTACGAATTTTGGAACTTCTGAATTTTTCTCATCTTCCTTTTTTCCATATTCCTCCGTTCTTCCCAATTTTCCGTTTTTTCGCAATATTTCGGTTTTTCTCCATTTTCCATTTTTTCTCAACTTTTCTCAATTTTCGTGGTAATTGAAATTTTTCTTATTTTTTAAATAATTTTGATAATTCGGATTCAATTTTTTTTCAATGTTTTAAAGACAAAACAGAACAATTTTATGTGGCAACAATTCATAGTTGAACAACACAACAGCAACAACAAAGAATGCAAAAACAAAAAAAAAAGGATTAGACAATTAAGAATGACCTTAAGATGAGAAAAAAAAATTGAAGCCAATTGGGGTTTATTTGAAGGAAGCTTGGTAGCGGGAAGGAGGACCTGAGTTTCTCTTTGACTTCTTTCTAGGCGGTGATGGACAGTCTTCTGGTGTTGTTTCGGTGTCTCTGTAATATATTAATGAGCTGATTGAACATTTAAATGAGTCGCTCACTTTGTCTCACTGTCGTCTGAATCATCCGAAAGTCGATGCATGTATCCAATCGGAAACTTTTCTTTGAGAGACATTGGTTTCACATGTTGTCCTGTGGAAACATCGGTCACTTCTTCAGAATCGCTTTCAGGCTTTCTCGAGCCCTTTTCTCCAAGAACATCACGAAGATCGATCTGTGAACTATGATCATTCGAGACACGATTTGATGGCTTCGGCACTGGATTGACATTCTGATATCCGAAAATATCATTCTCCTCATCAGAATCGCTGTCATACTTTCTTGGATCATCAGAAAGATCCATGCAAGAATCATGAGAGTTCAAGTGATCCACAGAAGGGTCAAGGACTAGATTGACATGTTCATCATTGGAATTACAATTAATTTCATCCTCGACGATATCTCCCGACTCATCGAAGACATTGGGTTTAGAATTCAAGCTATTCACATCACAATCACTGTCATTTTCCTCATCACTAGAAATATTCCCATCTGCTTTCCTTTCATCATCACCGCTTTCAGACTCGCCAGAGACATTTCTATTGACCTTCTTGAATTCGGATACAGTTCTCCCGCCGTTATTATGTGACCTTTTAGAGTACTTCCGGTCGGGTATCTTTTTGCGTCTTTTCCGTCGTTGATTGATTTGATTTGCAAACTCCTCGACAGTGAAATCAAGAACTTTTCGCGAATATTCAGAACTTCTTGGCATTTTTTCGTTGGCAGTGTACTGAGTACAGCGAAGCTAAAAAAAAAACATACTCCAGTATGAAACGCAATTCAAACATACACATGTGAGCAAGTGATAGCAGGTTTTGAAGCACACTTGGGATCCTTTCATTCGATATTTGTTTCGGTCGTTTTCACAACAAAAAACGATTTGTCATCTTTCTCCACAAGATACTGACCGGATTTATGGTAGATTACGTTCTTATTGAAGACTTCTCCAATTTTCATCTGTTTCGGCACACTTCTCCATACGGTTTTCGGCATTTCAAACACATGAGATAACGAAAAAGTACGAAATCCATGTTTTTGCAAAGCTTTAACTTGACTTTGTGCTGACAAAATTCCGGTTTTTTTGAAATTCGCGTATCGGATCAGCTCGCTCTTTCCAGTCAAAATCGACTTGCAAAATTCCTTTTTCTCATCTGTAAAACATATCCAACTTTAGATGTTTTTACAGTCAACCCTACCCTCGATAAATTCCAACAGCTTATCCAAGCAAGTGCGTCCATTTAGTTTTCGTGGAATCGCAATTTTGATTCGTGAATTAAGGTTCTCAATTCGATTCGTAGATGCATAGTTTAGAAGCAGCCCAGCCATCAGACGAGATCGGAGAGAATGGGTTGAAAAGAGATCTTCTTTTCTATCGAGCAACCACTTCTTTAGAGCCGGCGCAAAATTACACTTGACAATCTCCGCTTCCATCGCTTCTGAACTCATTACATTGAAAATTCCATTTTCAACTTCATCTCCAATCTGTCTTCCGAAAATTTTGTTCAAATCTGACTGGCTTATATTCTTTTTACTTTGAATGAATGTCAAGTTGTTTCGACGATGTACTAGACACCTGAGAACTTGAGTGTCTTCCAAATATTTCATCTGAAAGAAACATGAGACTACACAAATTTAAAGTTTTCTATACCTTGCTGTAATATTTAAAAGATTCTTCGCCGCCTGTCATCAGTGATGGAATTGATTTTTTTCGCATAGGATCAACTTGCAGGAAGAAATCGTCAATTTCGCGAGCAAAACTCTTGTGATTTAGTGCATTTTTCGACGAGGAAATCATGAATCCTAAAAGAACATGGCGAATTTTTCCGCTGCAGCGCGATGTGAAGTCTCCTATATCTCCAGAGATTGTTGTCACAACACAATCTGACAAATCAAAAGTGCTATCAATCTGTAACTGTCCAGCCATATGCTTAATAATCCCACTATTTGCTGTCGGACTGTAACAAGATAAAAAATCATTGACTTCTTCTGAAGTCCAATCTTCGCATCCAGTTAAAAGCTTTCTATATTCCAGTACAGTTTGTTTTGTCGGTAGACTATTCATATAAAGATTCAGTGTGTCCGAATCGAGATAAATCGCTCCAAACTGGTTATCTAAAATGAAAAAATTATATTTTCAAAAAAACGTTCCTGTTTACCACTAGAAAATAGACGGAAGCCATTTTCTGTTCCAAAAGATGCGAGTGATTCTGGTGTTGTCACGCTCACGCGGCCCCTCTTCGACTTCACACAATCCGGCTGATACTTCATCTGGTTTCTGATTTGGCGGGTACTGAAATTAAGGGCTCCTGATTTTAGATCTTCGAAAGCTCCTTTCACAGTTCTTCCTTTCAGGGACCGATATATCAATTGACACTCTGCTTCTGAATATTTGAGTTTTATATAAACGCTTTTATTAGAGCAAAGTTGTTCTTACCAGTTAGTCTGTTAGGTTTTGATGATTTCAGAATATCGTAGTCCATTCGACCATTTTGAGACACGTATACTACGAAAAAGAACTCTTCCTTCTCCGGATAAATCTCAAATTTTTTGAAAGCATCATCATTAGGATTGATGCAATTGTAATATCTGTAAGAGCATCCATCGTATTCGATCTTTCTGGGTCTCGGACGGATTTTTCTACCTGAAAAGAAAATAATAAAAATGAATTGAAAATCAGCTGATCCTACCATTAGTTGTCTTCCACCAAGACAGTCCATCACAAAGTTTATGATCTTCGTTTCGAAATTTTGCGAATTTCACTGACGGTTCCGAAAACACTGGCAAACGAAAATCGGTGAGATTTGACGATGTCACACTGAAACAGATAACTTGGTTTTAAAATTAAATTTTCTTTTTCAACTGACCAGTTTTCAATGATATCTTTCATCGTTTTAACTGAAAATTTGTTCGAATAGGGACCTGTTCTCCATATGCCATCCTCATCCAAATCAAGCGAAAATTCTTTTATTGGTTCTCCTTTGGCAGATATTTTCGTTTTTTCTGGTTCATTTTGGCCGTCACTCGACATTTTAATTTCAGAATCACTCTCGTCCATTTTGAGATTTTTGTAAAATCACAAAAACGTTCTGAAAAAAAGATGAAAAAAGAAAAAATAGGACAATTGGTAGTTCAAAAATACGTCATCGATTACGTCATATGACGTCATCGATTACGTCATACGAAAAATGAGTCTAGGACTGAAAATGGTGACCAGAACTACTGTGATAGCCAAAAATTCATAATCTTCCACAAATTTCTGCAAAAAAAAATACGAAAAACAGTCGAAAATCGTTGAAAATCGAGAAAATAGGAGGAAAAATAGAAAAAATTGCCTTCGTAAATCGACAACGGCCCCTGGCCTAGAAAATTCCGGAAACTCTTCCATGAGAATTTCGAGCAATTTTTTGGGATTCAAACACAGAACTCACAGTAAAAGACACATTTTCGAGAAAAAAAAGCAAATTTCTTATATAAAAAATTGTTTTAAACACTGACAGATAAAGTACAGAAGTGAGCGATTGGAAACGACGATGGAATCAGCTGAAATCAAAATCCTGGCCTAAAAATAATTTTTTTCAGACAAAAATCCCTTAATTTCCGATTTATTTCTGATTTCGGAAGACAAATAATAGGTTTTTTTTCATAGTTTTGCTGTCAGAATTCGGAATTCATGCCTTTTCATTGGTTTTTCCTTCATCTCTACAAAGTTTTGTAAACTACAGAAGTGAAAAAAAAACTAAATGAAATCTAACAGAAAAATTTCAGTGCCGAATGTGTCCACTTTCAGATATAGTCGTGGGAAATCTTCCGGAAGTTGTTTTTTCTAACCTCTTTCACTTTCTTCCTGCTTTAGAAACCACCGAATATGTACGGGTTGCGGTTGAGAAGGGAAACTGGGTGAATTGGTGTAGTGGTGCGCGTGGGTGCACGAAAAACTGAAGTCGCGAGTTCAATCTCGACCAGATCCGAACTTTTTGTTTTTGTGCAACTACCTAGATGTACCCCTTCAGACTGCGTACCCACTCAGTCAATGTACCCCTTGAGCATGATGTACCCTATTTCGATGTACCCCTGGAGAATGGACCGAAATTCTGTCCGAGTTTCTGAGATTTTGAAGTGCTGAAAATCTGAAATTCTCAGACTGTGAAGTTCCGAAATTCTCAGGTTCCGAAATACTGAAATTCCAAAGTTCTGAAATTCAGGAATTCAGAAACTCCCTCAAAAAAAATTGTACCCCCGAATCACAAGCGTTGTACCCCTAAATGAAATGAGTTGTACCCCAGAATCATTGGTAGTTTGTACCCCCGAATCGTTGTACCCCCGAATTTTTGTACCCACGAATTTTTTACCCCCGAATCATCAATTTTGTACCCCTAAATCAGTTGTACCCCCTTGTACCCCCGAATCATTGTACCCCCCGAATTTTTGGCCGAAACTAGTAGATGGTCCAGAGTCAGGCTAAATGGTACTGGAGTGCGACCAGCTTTTCCAAGCTCGATTCTGGTAATATTTTGAGTGAATGCAGAGTGATAGTCATCCCCATTGAGAAACAAAGGCTGCACAATTCTTAGGCATTCGACATGAGGGAACGCTTTCAAAATTAGTTGGTTATGCATTGTAGAGCTTGTTGGCAGTCCGGATAATTGTCCCACTTTTGGAATAGCTTTGGATACGGATTGAATGTCAATTAGGTGGGCATTCTGTTGGATATCAATGAAATCAAACTCCGACCGCCGATAAATATATAGAAGCTGATTCAACAATGTTGCTGGAGAGAGATTTTCACAAATTTTGCAATTTCCATCTTTTGACATTTGTTGAATTTCAAAAAGCTCAGCATTTCCGATATCGACTGGGTTCAATGTTTCGTATTCGCTCTTTTTCAGTTTGATCCCGTACCAAATATACTGATGTTCATCTTGGATCGTCACAACCATATCTTTATTAACACATAAGTGAAGTACATCAGCTTTTTTCATAACAGATGTAACTGCTTTTTTGGATTTTTTTGAGACCAAACTTAGGTGAAATCTGGAAAAAAAAGAAATTTAGTACAAGAAAAACCATGAAGTTCTTACATGTCCCCATTACTCATCTCACGAATCGTCATGCGAAGAACTAAACTAGGAAGTGCGAGAAGAGAAATTCTTGCCATAGCTGAAATAAATACCAATAGAAAATGAGACAAAATGTAAGCTGAAAGGGTAGTGGTAACGAAAAATAGATACCATAAAACCTGGAATAGAAAGATTCTTTGACTATAAACTTTAATCAAAATAATCACGCTTCCTGTCAAAGATATCAAAAAGTAGTCAACTAAAAAATTGTTTATTGTAATATCTGAAGTATTTTATTGGTTGGCACATTTTTGATAGCTTTCACGGGAGCCGAAAAAAATCAGTTTGAACTTGACAATGTGGGGATTTCTATCAAACGGTTCACGGCAGTAAACCCAAAGAAGACAAAAACAAGCTGACATAAATAGAAATCTGTGAAATCACATATTTCTGTTTATTTCACTAAAAAAAGATAAAAATAGAAATAAGAAGGAAAACTAGAAAGATGAATGAATGATGGCGTAGAGAACTGAATGAATGAGTAGAAGGATAAATGAATGATGGTCCAATCGCATCGCAACCACTCAATAACCACTCAATACATTTATGGATGAGAAGGGGTGGAGAAATAATAGAGCTGGCAAGTAGAAGAGAGATGTGCTAAAGGTGGAGTGGAAGGTGTGATAAGATAGAGAACGTTCTCATACATTTAGAGAACGTTCTCATACATTTTCACCCAGCAACCACTTCATTGCACATGATGACGACTGGGACAGCAATAAACGAGGGAGAGTCGGATATCCCCCCCCCCCCCCCCCCCAATGATGGTCATTTGCTGTAAAAACGTTGAAAAGAACAAGTGGGAATGATGGGACTGTAAGGTTGAGAAACAACCTAGCAGAACCAATGGTGTATTGAAAATCAACATAACATGAATCTTGTCTAGATTCTGACTTCTTGATTATGAGTTCTGTATACTGTAATTCATGAACTGTAATCGCTATACGGTATTCTGTATTCCGTATTTTGTTTACGTATTCCGAACTCCGTATTCTGAATTTGGAATTTCGGGCTCTATACTATGTACTGTGAATTCCAGATTCCAGGTGCCGGATGGTTGTTCTCAACGTCCGCGTCTACATTTCCCAACTTGAAAACGCTGGCCTTATTCTTCTTGGTTCAGTACTTCTCTAGAACCTGGTACAAGTTTCATCTGAAAATCAAACCCATTTCCCCTAAATAATCCCCTTTTCTGAAACATTGTATTTTTGAAGCATCGTATTTGCTTTGCTCTTCCAGAAATCGCCTAATCTCCAGATTTTGTCATGATGATGGATAATACGGTGTAATGAGTTCACTCATTCCTTCCTCAATTTCGCATCGTTACCCTATTGTCTTTCGAATCGAAAATCTTGTCAAGTTAAAAACCAACGGAACACTACAATCATGATAACGACATATATCATAAGAAATCTGAAAGACTAGACATTTCAGAGACAACAACGCCTCCTTGGTTATGATATTTCTTCTGGAAACCAATTATTCTCTCATGTCTTCTTTTTCTAGCCTGACTGTTGGCTGAAAGAGGAGAGCTGTGCTGAGAGAGGAAGGTGTGATAGGTAACCCTAGAACGTTCTCATACATCTATATGTCACACAGAAACCATTCCATTGTACATCATGACTACTGGGACAGCTATAAAACATGGAGAGTTGTTATTCGTCATCTAAATGAGCGTCATTGGTTGTGAAACGTTCTGAGAACCAGATGAAGATTGATGGGACTGTAAGGTTCAGCGGCAACCAATCACAACCAAGAACGTTTCGAAAAAAAACATAAGATGAATGTTATTTTATAGTAGAGGGTCAAAAAGTGGCATTTTTATCTCGGAAGTCGGAAATAAGATTTTTTCAGAATTAGGAAGCTAATTTAATTTTTTGAGAAGGGTTGTCTCATCAACATGGTCTTACATTTGCTCTGACGGGAAGATCCAATAGGAATATTTTATTCTGAATTGTCGATTACGGATTCTGAATTTTTCAGGCTGGATTCTGGATTCTGGATTTTTTAGGGTGGATTCAGGATTTAATCACAAAAGAGTAGCAAAACACTATAATCACAATTGTGTTATTCATCACAAGAAAGCTGAAAAACTAGAAATTTCAGAGAAAACAACTTCTCCCTGGTTATGTAATTTCTTCTAAAAACCAATTATTATCACATGTCTGTCCTTTCTTTCCAGCTCGAGACTTGTTATTCAATCATAATCAACACCTTTTTCGTTTTTTTTTTTGACAACTACTTTTCTTTCTGAGACGTCTTGAGATTCTTGTTATGATTTTTCCATTTATCTTCCTTTTATCTCCATCTGTTTCATCCTACGGCTTCGTAACATATGATTTCGCAACTGACATGCAACAATTGAATGATACACGGCAAAACGGTATTGCTTCAAATTTACAAAATCACCTAAATTGCCGCTTTCAATAAGTTTCAGATGATTGTTTCTTCAATGCTTCTGAAATAACTTCCGTAACCATCGAACAATGGCCAACAAACTGTATCGAAGTTTGGTCAATTGCCAAATTTACATCTAGGTCTAGCGAAGTTCCATATGATAAATTGAAAAACACTTTCAAGAGGTTGGCCGTATTAAGAGGAGCAATGCGGATTGAAAATACCACTTTCACAAATTTATCGTTTTTTGGCAAGCTTCAAAGAATTTCAAATATAAAACGGCGTAAGTCTTTATTCTTGCCCGGCAGCGGTGATCCTTGCTGCTGAAAATTAATTTGAAGGCGCAGTATCGGTTTACTAGGTTGTTTCAAAAATCTATTACATTTTTAAGAGTGCGCTTCATTTATTTTGGTCGATCTTTTTTTTTCTTCATTCTCGTTTTTATCATGTTCAAATTATGCTTAATAAAAGTTTTCTAGTTTGTAAAAAATTGGTTTTGCTGTTTTCTCGTCTGTTTATCTACCTTACAGTCTCCTCAGGGGTAGATTTGTAACTCGCTATCTTTTATTGCTGTCCCAGTTGTCATTATGTGCAATGGAATGGTCGCTGGGTGACAAACAGATGTATGAGAACCTTCTGCGATTATTTTATCACACCTTCCAACGTCAGCATTGGGATGTTTCAATTTTTTAAATTTTGGAACAACTCAAAAAATTTCTAGAAACTTTAAAGGCGAATGGAATTTGAAAGCACAATATGACTATTCTTCTGCTGCTTGTCCAAACTTTTTGAAAACAATTCATGCATTTAAAATAGTTTTCAGTCGTAAGGTTTATTGTCACCGGATAAGATTCAAACAAGACTAAAGATTATTGCTTCACTTAATTTTTTTTAGTGGTTACATCCATCACTGATAACAAGGATTTGAAAAATGCGAATCTGCTGTTTTCTTTGTCATACACTTTTCCAAACTCTCCGATTCAAATTGTGAACAATCCTCAGCTAGATGTTAGCTCTTTATGCGGAAACATCAATTATGAAAATTTTGCTGAAATTTATGTCTATAATAACATGAAAGACTGCGGTAAGACACTGCACAATCTATATCGGTTATCTTATTTTGTTATAGGTTGCGTGGGAACAAACTTCACCATCTGGAATATCGGAAACTATTCCAATTGCACCTCGCTATTTGGTGACACAGAGATAACTGGAACTACTGGAATGGAAAAGTTTTCTGTTTTGTCTAAAGTGAAGAACATCACTGGAAGAGTGAACATCCATGATACGAGTTTCGAAAACTTTTCATTTTTCGGAAGCGTAGAGAGGATGACAGGAAACAAGGATGAAACAAACTTCAATATTCATGACAATCCAAATTTAACTCGTTTGGGAATGGATTCTCTTAAAGTATGATTTATTGTTTTACGGTATTTCCTCTGATAGAAGCCAATCAACTTTGAGCAAATTTAACTCGATAAATTATTTACCATAATGACATCAATATTTTATCAGTTGACCTATTTTCGATATCTCTTACAAGAATTGAGGTAATTGAGCGCAAAACGGATGGTTTGGATGGGCTTCTATTTTAAAGGAAATACGGTATATCCCATTAAGACTCGAACATGCATTTCAGTATTTGTACAACGTCGACGCTTGGTTCCTGTTCAATATATCGAATAATCACCCAGAGTTTTGTTTGACTATGGAGGAGATGCAATTTTTCACGTCTTCCAATATCTATATCAACAGATTTGAAGCAAAATTCTGCAATACCACTACCAGGAAAGACGGCGAGAAAGTTTGCATTTACCATACATTGGCCACACTGGATAATAATTGCCCTCATGTGATAGGAGATATATTAGTGACATCTGGAGACGAAAATGACACGCAAAAATTATCCAGCGTGAAATACATCTATGGAAGCCTTGCCATTGTTAACACCTCACTGACAGATTTATCATTTCTGGGTAACCTGACCAATATAGCTGCTCTGGGTGGTGAGTGATTTTGTAAGAACAAAATAATAATTCACAGATTACAGACACTTCACCTGCGTTACAACTGATTTCCAACCCACTGCTTGATAATGTCTACATCCCAAATTTAGAAGTGAGTTTCAAGGAAATTCAGAGATTTTGAATTTTTTTCGATATCTTTTTTTTTCAGTACCCATTCTCTCCGGGTCCTCATAGAGTAGTCATCCAAGATAACGCACCTGGATTGTTCCCTGACACTTCTTCGTGTCTGACTTATCAGAATCAGATAAAATCGTATGTTTTCTACGATGGAGCAGATTGTTGTAAGCGATATAAGGTCTGATTTCATGAAATTATTCGTTTTTCATTCAGATGGAGATTCAGGAGTCGTGCAAGAAACAGAAAACTCGTCCAGCAGTTTGAATTACCAATATTTTCTTTTAATCTATTTAACTTATTTTCTATGATCTTCTAAATTAAAATACTTTTTTTAGAATTTTCAATTAAATTTATCTTGAACACGTGTTTATACCTTTTTCAGATTGAGAGTATTTATTCAATCACAAATTCACCTTTTCGAACAATCAAATTGGCATATCTGACAAGATCTACTAGATCAAATGCATAATATCATTATTCAACGTAGTTGTGTCATGTTTTTGACACTGTTTTTTTTTTGAATTTACTGAGTTCGTGTGTTTTTTTTTCCCTAAAACTTATTAATTGTCGCTACATTGACATTTATCTGTGAGAAGCACAACCGAATTGGAAAATTATTACAAAGGAAACATATGAAAAATTCTACGAGAAATTGAAATGTCGCAGGAATGTTTTTTAAAAAATTAGCAGACAAGGGAGCATTGTGGCAAAAAAATGAGGTGGAGGAGAGAGATTCGAATGATAGTTCCGATCTGAGAACAAAATAATGAACACTGAAGTTGGCAATACATGGAGACGAAATGAAATCAGAGAAATGTTAAGAAAGCAAGAAGAATCGTATGAGCTAGTCTTCATCACTAACTCTGCTTTCAAAAATCTCGTCCATCTCCGCTTTGATATGATCCAGTCCGCGGAGAAGCGTAGACAATTCGCAATTCACTTCAGCATTTCCCATGTTCACACGGAGAGCCTGAAATTAGTATCTTTGAAATAAACTGTAAAAAATTAAGTCAAAAAACAGTTATCAATAAATTTTAGTCATTGAAATTCTTATGAAAAGTTGAAATATGGTAGGACACCTAATAAATTTGCCAAAATTTTGACTAGAGCCTGTCTACTAAAGTCTCAAGCAAAATTATGGCACAGAATCCTAGGGTACATCGAAGTAGGGTACATCAAGGTTGCATTGGATCTTGGGATGTAGGCCTCAGCCTATAATTTTGAGCAAAAAACGGAGTAGTCTGCAAAATATTTCACCCGTATTATCGTTTACCACAAAATTCCATGTACGCCTCTAATCAATGTACCTTAAGAAATAGGTGTTCCTTTTTTTTAGTATATCCTTGGCTACTGTCAGAAATATTTTTTACCAAAATGAACTCCTGGAAGTCGCGCTTGCGGCCGGCAATACGTGAGCGAATTGCCGTGGGCCAAACAGTCAAAACTGGGAAAAAACTTACAAAATACTGTTTACCCAGGAACCACTAGGACCGCTAAGCCACCGTATCATAATTATTCCCAAAACACCTAATCGAAATGCTGGGGTCTGCCGTGACACAGCCTTATCCCTGGCAATTGATTTTACACCAAATCCGTAATCAACTTACAATGTTCATTTTCTGAGCAATGATGATTTCCTCCCGTTGTCTTTTCTTCATCTCACTTTTCAGATTATCACATTTTTCTTTCAGGGAATTCCGGTTGTGTTGCATGACATTCGCTTTACAACACAAATCGGATAGTTTGAAATTGATATTGCTCACATAGGATTTGTACGAGTTATAGAACTGCTCTGAATGTCTGAAAATGCATAGAATTAAAGATTTGATACAGAAGTTTCAGTATACTTCTCGATTAGATCTTGAGGATCGTGGGTTTGGACAAACGTTCTCAGACGTTTGTATATGTCGATAGCGGAATCGCCAATGGTTTCGTCAATTGGCAAATAGCGAGATTCCAGCGTTTCCAACTTGTGTCCAGGCATGATATCGACCTTATCAATTTGTGCCTCATGTTCCGTTGATGCAAGTGTTTCTGTCATTACCTTTGCCAATTTCATAACCAGATCATGGAATCGTCCTTCAAGCTGTAAGTATACAAAAATAGCACATCTAACGGAAACTGGACACAAACTTACTGTTTTGGCATAGTCCGCAAGTTTGACCCACTGGTAGTATTCCATATCAACAATGGTTTTTCCTTGTGCATTGGTTCTTGGTTCATGTTCACCTGATTCTCTTCTTATTCTGAGGAGATCGGAATGGACGAGGTCTTTACAATGCATCAATCGATCCATTAACTTATCCGTAGTTTTCAACAGGTTTGAGTACAATTTCGGATCACTGGAAAGCGAAACATCTGGCTTGTACTTGTTTTCAAAGAATCAGAAAACTCACTAGTCGTTCTTTCTGGTCAAAGCGCAGAACATTTCATACTCGTGTGTTTGTGTTTCCGTGCGATGATGGAAATAAGCATTAGCTTCTGCCTCAAGTCTTTGCTCCAAAGCCAAAATTTCTTTGTCGAAATTTAGCTGGTCGATATTGACAGCGTTCGCAAGGGAAGTCGAGTTGTTCCCGGATACCATTTCTTTGAAATTTTCATACCTCTCCCACTTGTAAATGGAGCTTTCCCGAAAAGCTTTGATAGAGTCCTCCGGGGATTTGAAAGATTGCCGAAAATACGTTGTGAACGACATCGGATTCTTGAAGTTGGTCACCTCCTTAAGAAGGCTCTTCTGTAGAATCCAAAGGCAAGTTGGAGTCAGCACATCGTAGTTTAGGTGCAATAAGTGAGTGGACTCGATTCCTGTTGGACAATCGAGAATTTTGAAAACATCGACAATAGCCTTGCATTGTTTCCTGAGAGAAGATTATTGTTAAACAGGGGGTTTCAGAATGACTTACTTTCTCTTTGGAATCTCGCTATTTAGAGACTCGACGAACTTCAGGTTTTTGGCTTCCTCAATTTCTTGAAACTGCTTTAGAGCAGCGGTGATGCCAGCGGCGACCTGTAATGAATTCAATGAGTTTGTGTTTGAATTTTCGTCGTTTCTGTAGATCGAATATTAGCTTTTTGTAAAACATCCGCGATGAAACTCCAAACGAGCGATTTCCATTTTGAACTCTCATTGGAAGAAAGAACCGAAAAAAAAATGCTGAACAAAGTTGGCAATTTCAGCATAGTTCAAAGATGATGATTTCTCGATTTTTACTCGATTTTGTAAGAAGACAAAAAAGGCGAATTTCTTAGGACACAATCACAAAAAGACAATCACAAAAATACCGAATCAGTGTCTACCTAAAGGAATTACACGACAACAGTGGATAATAAACCATAGGTTTTTCAAGAACTGAATAAGAAATACTTGCCTGATTATACTCTGAACTGCGCCACAAACTTGGATGCATGGAGCAGCGAAGAGCCATCCGTTCAATAATGTTGTTGTTTTCCGTCGCGTTTTTCTGGAAATTATTCAGTTTTATTTTGAAGTTTCCCATTTTGTTTTACCGGAGAACCACCTGATGTGGTGGACGCCATTTCTCAAATACGGAATTGAACCCTGAAAATTGAGTAAGTACAGATCCGAACAGAAATCTATCATATTTTGGTTACTCGACACAAAGCTTCTCAAAAAAATATACATTTTTTGTTTAAAAATGAATATTTTCTCTTTGAAACAAACTTCCGGTTCTCTAGGGTTCATGTCGTTTAGAGTTCGTAAGAATACGTTCTTTCCGTTCATAATTTTCAAAAAATAAATTGCGTACGCAATGCATCGTACCTGACACGCAATTGCGGACTTGTCTGCGCTTCTTCCACATACACACTATTTTTAGGAACAGTGCGGACGGCCGTTGTGTTACCGCGCGCGCGGCACACAACGTCTGTATGGGCGATCTGCCCCGCTCTCTTCAACACACACACTCTCTGGCACACACCACAATGCGCCCACACAAAGAGAGAAAGAGAGTCGGGCGAAAAAGAAGAGATACGTCTCTTCTTGCCCGTTCTTTATTGCCCTTCTGTTCTTATCGATTTTCCATTTCTTTTCCCCCAACCATCGCGGCGCCCGTTGAACACCGAGTCCGTCTTCGGACGCTAAATCAAGTTCTTTAGCTTTTTTTTTGAGGGTGGCAACAATTTATTGCGGGCATTCTCTCTTTGGCCCAACTCGTTTTTTCTGCCGTTCTTATCGGAATGGTAGAAGAGGAGTTTGAACAGGTTTTTTTTCAGGTAACGACACTTAAATTCCTCAATCATGGCTAACAAGCAGGTGAGCAGGTTTTTAATAATTTTCTTCAAGGTGGCGCATCGCCCTGTTGGTGGGGATGCCTTCAAAATTGCTGTAAAACCAAAATGAAGATAAAATTTTTCAGAAAAAGAAGCAAGCCAAGAAAGCTGCTCAACAAGCCCAACAAAGCGCCCAGAATGTCGTAGAGATTCAATTGGGATCCCCTTCGAGCCAATCGTCTGCACCATCTCCCCAACCTCCACAGGGCCTCCGGAATCGTCAAAGCCCGCAACAGGCGCAAAAAATAATAGCTCCACCGAAAGTCTACAATCATGAGATCATCCTCAATGCTCTCTCGGATGCTGGATATCATCGTGCTCGTGTCACTTCTCTTTCGCTTTATGATAGAGTAAGAAATTTTGAAACAATTTTGCATAGCAATCTGAATTTTTGCAGATCCTTGGTGGCATCTGCTGGGCCATGAGCATGAGCTATCCGAAACCGAAAGGAAAGCAGTGGTGGTTTTTTGAAGAGGTGGATGGAGCGAAAAAGAATGACAAGGAGAGGCAGTGAGTTTCACAAGTTGTTGGTGTTAAGATCCTCCTGAAACTATTTCAGAGCTGAAATCACGCAAATGATGCAAGTCAAAAGTGACATTCACTGCAATCTGAATGCCAGCAACCATGACATCCTCAACATGAATCCCCAAGTTGTTGGTCCACTTGTGGATTTTGTTCTCGCCAGAATCAACAACATGGTTCTTGATAAAAATGCGTTCTTCACCTGGAGCGGCCTCTTCGTTTGCCGATATGACAATCGTCCCACCTTCCTTGAAGAGCACTTCTATGCACTGAGAATCTTTAACACAAATCAATACTCGGATGCGATTCGAATGCTAAAATTCGATCATTCCATCATTCGAGATGATTGGGTTACTGGCAGGCAGATGCTGTACGAGTATGCTAACTATAGTCGTACCGGCAGAAGAACCTTCCCGAGCACTGTTGCGGATGGATATGAGATTGTTCGTAGACCGAATCCGGAGCTCGTCTCAGCCGCTGTTCGTGACAAATTGGATATTCTCATGGACACGATTATGAATAGTCTTACGGAAAGAACTCACGAGAATGTTCTCGCTATGATTGATTTGGTTGATGAATTACGTTTTGCCGTTCGCCTATCCCAAATCGAGATTCGATTCTATCAAGAATGTGGGGCCTTCCACAAAATGTATTCACAGTTTCACGATGAGGGCTCTGCTTTCCTCAAAACCAACGCTGTTGCTTATGAGATGTGAGTTATTTTTCTTGTACAGTTTAATCTTCTATTATTATAATTTTAGCAATCCTTCCGACCCCATCAAAGTTACCGAGTGTGTGGAAGACATCAAAGAACGATTCCAAATTCTGAATAAGTACCTTTTGGGGAACGAAATTGTCGAGAAAGAAAAGAGATCGCGTAACTTGCGTCAAAACTACGACGAATACGACCCGCTGGGATACTACCATGCTGACAACTCCCATAGAGCCGACGTTCTGGACAAGGAGGTTAAAAAACTTCGATTGGTAAGAGTTTTATGTGGTTATTCGAAGGGAATCTAACCAGCATTTTTCTGGTATTTCTCTTATGTAGAGCAAAGCAAAATTAGCAGATTTCTGCTCTCGCGGCGGACAACAATGCTGGAGTTTTTTAAGCCACTTGGTTAGTTCATGGCAAGCAGTGCGAGCTTATTGCAGGAATCTCTATGTGCCTCAAATTTTGATTTCGTGAGTGGCTTCAAAATCAAACCACGGCTAGTCATGGACTAGCAAAGTTTCCTTCAAACGACAGTATTCTAGATTGCCGCGGCAGCGAATTGCAGATATCTGCATACGAACAAAACCCAGCAATATCCTAGCTTGCTCCCCTCCGAATAACCGCAATATAATTTTTGACTAAAAATTGAAAATTAATTTTCAGAGAGCCATGCTTTGTAACGAGATTCCTAAAGAGCTCGATCCAGTGTTTGAAGCTTACAACAATCTTCAAAAGAAGAAGGAAGATTCGTTCCCCGAGCCAACCGAGGAGCACATCGGCCTTTTCCAGGATATCGATTATGCGCTCGTTGACGACATCACGTTCTTGATGACATCGGTTACCAATATGCTTGACGAGCTTGATCAGTTGCCTCCAATTGTCGAGTGAGTTACTGAATTAGGGATTTAGAAAATGCTAAATTCTTTTCTATTTTTAGCAAAATTGACTACGACTTCCGCCAAGCCACAAGAGCTTATGCAAACGACTGTCATAATATCCTTTCCGATTGGTACTGGAAGGCTCGGATCTTAAAAGAAGAGCGCAGAAATTTGCACCGTAAGATGAGAGATCTTCGTATGGATGCCAAGATTGTCAAGCACAAAATATTTTTTGCAAAGCCGGAATCCACTTTGGTAAGGTTTTTTTCAGTGAAATTTCTTACCCGTCAGACCCATTGGCCGTCAAAGAACGTTACGCTGAGCCATAAACCAATAAGTTCGTTCTTTCTAGAACAAACTCGGTGACCCAGAAACCGCTAGTTCGCCGTATCCTACCTCTCTCAAAAATACCCTAATCAAAATCTGTGGCAAAATTCGATTGTCTCTGAAATTCGCCCAATGACCCCAAAACATTTGAACCATAGGAATTGTTTGCCCCAACGATCGAGTTTTAGGTCTTGTCATATCACTTGCGTTTGGTCCATGAGCTCACCTGCCCCGAGAGCTTCAATAGGCGAAAAATCTCATAAACTTCTCGCCAAATCCCACCACCTCAAAGTCAATATCATTTTTTCAGCTGATGAAACTCAATGGAGTACTCGGCAGTGTCACCTATACCTTGAAACGTTGGGAAACTGAGTCAATGGAGTTCAAGATCGACTGGGCTAGCAAGATCGCTGCGAAGGAGGACCGAGAGGCTAAAGAGGCTAAAATCAAGGAGGAGAAGCGACTTCAAGCGTTGGAAGATGCAAGAGCCGCTAAGCAGGCCAAGATTGTCAAGTCGAACAAGAAAGGATCTGGCAAGAAAGGCAGATTTGGCAAGAGACACTAAGTCTTGGATCCTGATCAAGCTTTTTGAGAGTTCTAAATTGCCCCAGACCGAATTCCGTTATGCTAAATTTTTTGTTAAATGATTAAATTGCTTCAGAGATTTTTTATATTCCCTATCTATTGCATCCTCTCGAGTGAAATGAAGATTATTCTTGTGCTAGTCTTGTTATTTCACTTGTTTTCCTCATCTCCAAGAAGATGTACTTTTCAGAATCGGATGACTATCAAAAATGAAGAAGAACGCTTTGAGACGTCGGAAAGGAGAGACGAGGATGGCCTTGACATTGTATTTAGAGACAACTTCCACGATTTTCACGGATCAAAATGACCCAAAAACAAATCAGACCTTGTCAAATCGCACGATCGAAAGTTCATATTGATCGGTTCGTTTGACCTTATTTTTTGTTTCTCTGTAATCTTTCTTTTCTCGGTATAGATCTTTGTTCCATTTTTTCTAGTGTGGCGTGCTTGGTAGAGAAATTGAGGCAGAATGAAAAAAAAAAAACTAAAGTGCTAGATAAGTTTATAGTTGATAACACCAAAAATATGGAATGTTGTCTTGGGTTTATGAAAAAAAAACCAAATTACGTCGACAGCACAGAGTTTAGGTGTGTTCTTTTTTTCCTAGAAAAATGTTGGCTGTCGTAATAAAGTGCAAGGAACATGTCAGGTATCTCTGGGCATCGCCAACGGATTGCGTCGGATAATGGGCAGGAATTATCGGAAGAATGTTAGCTTGCTTTGTGTAACCTGGCGCAATGGCAATCTTCGAAATGGACTTTCCGTTGCTAGACGAAAATCAAAGAATCTTCACGTTGAGAGGACAATATCCAGGCGCGGTGAGAGGGGAGAGAAAAAAAAACCAGAAATGCAAATTTATCTGTCTAGCATAAAAATCAAACTTGGAGAGAAGTGCTGCTGCTGCTTCACAGTCATTTCTTTCAAGATCATTTGTGAATTTCATTCTATTCCTCTGATTATTTGATCTATCAGCTCTGCTGGCCTTCTTATTTCCGGTTTTTCTCTAACATGTTACACTATGAAAATATGAACACTGATTCTAAACGACGTCCACTTTCACAGTAGGCATTCAAAGGGCCAAATGGGTTATTAGGACTAGAATACTGGATATAGAGGTTACATATGATCATAAGGAGATTAGTGTAAAAATGTTACTATTCTAGAATGTTTGTAGCTGTTGCTGACGTCAAAGCGGGTGACCATTTGGGGATCAGTAGATTTTGAAAATCGTCAACTTTGAGTTAATATATTCCGGTTCTTGTAAAAGATATCAAACTGTGGTCAACAGATAAAATGTTAATTACAACATCAAAAATATTTTGTTAGTTGACCACTTTTCGATATTTTTTACGGCAATCAAGATAAGTTAGCTCAAGTTGACAGTTCAGGTGAGCTTCTATTAGAGAGAATACGGTAAGTTTTACGATTTCCATGTGTGAAAATAAGTTTCATATGTTTTTGCACCATTCGGTTTGAATTTGTCAAGTCACAATGATTCTTTGATAACTGATTATCAGCAGAAAAGGGAAACAATAACCTTTTGTCACTATACGAAAAAAATGGGTGGACTCGAAATTGCAGAATTTTCTTTCCCCTTTTTTGTTCCCGAATCAAAAACTATAAAATTGAACCTCGAGTTTTGTGTTTCCTTATCAGTTTAGAATTAGTTCACCTCCCTCACTTGCTGACCATATTTCCATTACGTAAGTATGTCTGTCGAATCGGGGAAGAAGCCAAAGATTTGGCTGATGTCATCCATTACGTGAATGACCACCCACCACTTGGGAAATCTAATAAAGTGCTGGATTAGGAGGAAAAAGGGAGAAGGCATAAAAATTAATTATTTCAAGCTTGCGTTTCAATTTTTATTTTTGGAGGCGCCTTCGCGCCCCCGTAGCTCTTTTCCAGCTTTAACGGTTTTATATTTCCAGCTTTAACAATTTTATATTATCGTAAGCACTCTAATAGAGTGTCATCCTGACCGTCAACTTTGGGCTCATATATATCAATTTCCGTAAGAGTTATCAAAGAGTAATCAACTGAGAAAATATTTTTGATATTGTGATTTGCATTTTATTTGTTTTTAACATTTTGATATCTCTTACAGGAACCGAGATATGTAGGCTCAAAGTTGAGGGTGGCACTGTGTTTCCAGGTTCATCCTTGTTGGTTTTCATAGTATTTATAAGGAAGTAGAAACTTTTGAACAACTCTAATACCTTGACCATTGTGGAAAAATTCTGTCGGAGATTTCCCAAAAGTACAATTCTCTGCCTCTCCCTCTCCTCCCCTTTCTCCAGACTTTTCTGAGAGATCTCTAAGTAGGCCACGTTTAGACATTCCTCTATGGTGTCTGTCCCTGGCACGCATTTGAAAAGGAGACGGTATCAATGACATTGAAAATCCCCCGTTTTTTTTCAAATAAAATCCCTCATTCGTGTGGTCTTTCAAACGCCTTTCCGCGGAAGGCGTTTTTTTCCTCTGTTCGCAAGTTCTTATCTTTTCAATGGATCACTTGTCCTTACCCATTAGGAATGGTGTGGGGGGAGGAATCGCGCAAGCGATACAATCCATTCCGTCCATCACACTGAATACCTTCTTTTTTGAAAAAGCCGCGCTAATAGGGTAGGAAAGGGGGATGAACATTAAGAACATTAGGGGAGGATGGCAGGAATGAATTATTTCTGGACAGATGTCTTTCCTGCGTAATACCTCTCTCGTTCTCTGGCCGCCGCGATAGTGGTGGCGGCGGTCAGTTGCATTCTGTGTTCAAATATTCGAACGCCGCGTAGACATCTCATTATCTCCTCTCAAAATATGTTTTCTTTCTAATATTTCCTAATTTAATATTGTTACTTCTCAACCCTTCTCCCTCTCTTCTACATATTATCTACTCACTTTTCCTGTTTCAGGGTTTCAAACCAATCGGAACACACACTTCATCTTCAATTCGTCATGGCTCCAAACGCTAGCTTCTCCTTCGACTACCGAGTGACCCATCTTGAGGAGCAACCACCACCGTTCCCACAGCTGACGATTGAGTGTGAGGTGTGTGATACGTTTGTGGACCGTGCCGAGCTTGTGGAGCATCTGGAGGTATGCGCTCATGACAGTAGTGCGCCGTACATGCTGGTGAGTAAGCATAAGAATTCAGAGCTTCTGAAAAATCGGCTTAACTTCAGAAAATGATGTTCCTTCATCAAGCCAAACTGGAGAACATCGAGAAGTGGATTGACCTCAACTACAAACTGCTCTGCGATGGACATCCACTGCAACTTCCAAAGGGGATTTGCTACCATTGCCCAAATCCGGAGGATCATCGCAATGAGAGATGCAAGCATTTGACAAGACTGGAGTATTTGCAGGTGAGTTGAAAAGCTATCGGGATTTAGGCTCCCGGACATTTCGCCAAGGTGATAATTCATACTGGATAGGCTAGAAGTACGATACGATTTTAAAGTTACAGACTGTTTTTTTCTGATTGAACATTTTCGATCATTTCCAGAAATCTGGAACTCAGCTGGGAAGTTTCTGATCACTTTGAAAAATTTGGAGGGTGTAGAACAGAGCCAGATTGAAAGTTTTGCATACACTGAATTTTTTGATGATTCCTAGTTTTTCAGCTTCTTGGCGGTTTCTGAATAATACCCCTTTTTGGCCCATTTTCGTACGATTTCTGAAATACATTTTTTGGCCAAGTTTTATACTGTAAACGTAAGAAAGGGTGTCTTTTATAAATTGGCAAGAGGGTAAAAAATTAGACCTTTCGAAAAATGCTGTGAATGCAAAGTTTTGATTCTAGAAGTGTTTTGCAATCTCCACAGTTTTGAAAGTAGTTGGAAACTTGACATCTTTAAACATCTGAAGATGATCCTAATCAACTGAAAATACAATTCCGAAAATCCCGAAAATTCTGACCCCTTTTCTTAAAATTCGAGTTTTTTGAACTTCTGTATTTTCAAAGGCGTACACCAAAAATGTTACCTTGTGGGGATCTAGCTTTTAACTTTTTTTGCGTATTTTTTTCCTAAAAACATGTTTTTGTATAACTGACAGAAAATGATTTTAGGTTGCCGAAAAAATCATTGTTTTTCTGATAACATAATCGCAAAAATTAGGAAGATTCAAAACGGTGATGAAGTCTTAGAGCGTAGGCCATAATTCAAAGAAAAAAAAAAATTTGAAAAACCATTTTTCAATTTTTAAGACCATGCTCACCAAGACCGAGGAGGACTACCAGTGGCATTTCACTGAAGCTCAACGCTTCCTGACAAAAACCCAAATAGAAATGTTGTCTTTAAAGCAAAGACGCTACTTGGACGATTATTTCAAGAAAATCGAGGGAGAGAATAGCGATCCAACTTCCAACGAGCCAGCTTTCACCGCTGAGGAGAAGGAGTATCCAGCTTCGACCTGCGCTGAAATTCGCTCTATTGAGAGACGAAACAACGAAAAGATGAGAGACTTGCAAGAGGATGTGGAGAGAAAATCGAGAGAAAACTACATCTTCCAGATGGAGAAACGAAGAAACCGTCACGAGGAGATGATCGATTATCTTACAATCAAGGATAGAGTCTCTCCAGATTTTGAACTCGAATTCGCTTAAATTGAGTATTTCTCCCGGCATTTTTCTATCAATTCATATTCAATGTCAATTGTAACTTTTCCAAGGCGTCCGGCATCAGTATACCCCAATCACTTCAAATACTTATTTTTTGTAGATTTCTTTATTATCAGTCTATCTTGTTCTACTCTATGATCTAATCATAGTTTTTCATTTTATTCACAATACTAATTTTGTAACGATCGATAACACTTTTTGTAAGTATTCATTTTTTCGTATTTTCTCAATTTTTCTAATTATGATGGTAGGTTTTTTATTCATATTTTTATCTAACTCTTTTTTTGTATTTTTTTTCGTAAAACATGTTTCTACTAACTATTCATCAACTAACTTTTTATCAGCTAACGTTTTATTCAATAAAGTCGCAAAAAAAAAGGATCTCTTTTTTTAGAAATTGATCAAAATTGGTGGAATATTTTGTTTTTCAAATCGCTGGTCAAAATTCAAATCTTCCAAACTCAATTTTTTTATTCACCTCTTCTGACTACTTAAAGAAGTACATTGACGGTTTTATAAAACAATACTTCATTTTCTAACTAGCTGGATACGCGTAATTAGCTAAATTGAAAAAAAAATCGCTAGACATTTGTAACACAAAAGGGTTTAAGACACATTATCTGAGAGAATTGAGATCGGGTCAACATGCGATGGCAATGGAAAAATTCAAAATGATCCTAGTACTCTGATATTGTATGTGGTGGGTATTACAAAGAATGATCAAAAATGTACCAGAAATTGAAATCTGAAACATTTGAGTTGATATCATTATTTTGTCTCAAGGGATTCCGATATCGTACACATATGGTAACGTAGGAACATTTGATCCAAAAAAATGAGATTAGGAAAAAATGAGATAGAATGGTCAATAACAAAAAAAAATAAATATGAAACAATCAGCATAACAAATTGAGAACATTATTTAACAAGTTCAATTGGGGAATCTGCTAGTATTTGGTGTGGAAGACCGAGAAGAGTTTGCCATCTGGGACTTTTATAGAAGCTTAGCGCAAATTGGCCTTCAATGAATCGACCAAAAAAAATTTGGAAAAAAAATTTGAATATTGACTTTTAATATCAAAAGATTACCGTTTTTTGAGTCTCATATTTACGAATCACATTGGTCCTTTTGGTTTTTTTCGCATCGAGATTTTTCTTCAGAATCCTAAATTCGATCCTAAAGATGGCCGTTTTCCAAGACAAATCAACAAAAAGATGATGAACGTCGTATGCGATGGTTTCGCAAATGCGGCGGTTTGTGGATTCGTATTCGCTGAAATGATACGTTCTAAACACGTTTAGACATTGAAAGACACTACACATTTGAATGCTGACCTAGTTGGTGGAGGCAAGTTGTTAATGAAATTGAAGACATCATCACAACTGAACATTCCATTTTCTGCAATGTCTGCAATCTCACTGACTTGATCAATGATATCATCGTCCGATTCCACTTCTTCTACCTCTTGTTCACCCAGCTCTGTGTAACGATTGTAACCTTGCTGGAGAGCCTCTCATAGTTCTGAACGATTCATATTCGAAGTACGATTGGAAGAGATCCTCGATCGATTCGTTCTCTTCTAGGAGCATACCCAGGCTGTAACATGTTCATTTTTTCCACACAATTCCGATTGTTCTGTCTCATTAGCTTCTCAAAAGTTTGAGCAGCAATCTCGAGAGACTCGTATTTAAAGGAGGCCAGACATCAAAAAAAAAGTTTTCCTGATATTTTGCATAGAGAACCCCCATGAGGGGTTGAACTCGTGACAGGCAGCTCAGGGGTACAGCGCAGCTACCGGCTGAGCTACGGGGGCGCGAAGGCGCCTGACGACCGATGGTCTACATAAGCGCGGCGCGATTTCGTCCCCCGAACTGTCCCCCGAAATTTTTGCTGTCTCGCCTCCTTTAACTTCGAAATGTTTAATGTAGCCGCGATATCTGCGGTATTTAACAGACTCTTCTTCGATTTTCGGGAGCAGCCATTGCAAAAGAGCATAAATAGGGACGAGGTTCACATTGATTAGGTCATCTTCTGTCAATAGATGTGGATATTCCTTATGAATTTCGAGGCGGTGAGCGACTTCCAAGCATTTGGTCCTGTAATGTTACATATCAGAAATATAGCCATTGTAGGATGTTTAAAAGTAGGGAGAGATGGGGAAAATTATTTAACGTTGTCTAGAAATTTTAAAAAGTCTATTGGAAACGGGAAAAATAGTCGGAAAAATAGTTCGATAATTTCATAAAGTATCAGTTAGAATGAAACAATAAATAATCGATTTTTAAACTGCCGGATAGTCATTTGAGAATGCAAATCCAAAAATCTCACCACTCGGCCCCAAGTGTTTTTTTCATTTTGGACGTTTTCTCTACGAAATAGTCATTATGATTTGGATCGATGTTCTTGGTGGCCCAGCTAATTCCTCCAAATATCTGAAACATTGCACGTCTTGAGAAAATTCAAGTGAAAATATTACCTTGTCGTAATTGGGGAGATTCTTGACATGAGCTCAATGATATCTGCGATTCGAGAGCTGATCCAACAGGTACTGAATCGTTATTCGAGATTGAAAGATGACTTTTTATCCAATACAATTGAAGTATCCGTGGAATTCATGCAGCATTTCATCTTTGTCAGAGAAGACATTTTGCCTGAAAAACAAGTTTACATAACTTTTTACATGAATTTTACAGTATTTTTCGAGAAATCGGGGTTACGATTTTTAGGAATTTAAATAAAGAAAACGAGAAAAAAAATCAATAGTCTTAAAGAGCCGGAAACAACCGAAAACAATTGATGTTCAAAACATTAATGCGGCTCTTACTGCGCGGGGACACATCAATGTCCCGTAGGGCGGATATGCATAGTTCCTGAAGTGTCGTCTAATGAGGTGTTTGTGCACTAGCGAGCCAAAAGAAGCGGATATTCAAAAACAGTTAATATTTTCGAAGTCTCTTTTTTATCAAATTCGGTTTCTAAAAGAAGGAATAAACTGAAACTCTTATGTTTGAAAACCTACTTTTTCGAAATAAATGTCTAGAAAAACATGTTATTGTAGATAAAATTAGGTCTAACAGGTTTTTCCTCTGCGAGAACAGGATGACATACAAAAAAGAAAATTACACCACTTCATTTATTTATTACTAGAATGGTACGTTTTTGATAAGAAAGTTCTCAATGTCAGTTATTACAGCAGACGATGTTTGAAAGATTTTTAAAAATTATGCACGGGAAAAAAAACAGTTTGCAAAACTTGTATTTTTCATAATTGAAGCAATTGGAAATTTTAGCAAATCATTATGGAACGGCTTGTATGACGATGGAAGTGAACAGTTTAGAAATTCAATGACTGTCATGAAAAGTTCATCATCAGTTTTTTGTACTAGCCAGAAGTGCCTGCCACCCGCGAACTTTGATATTGGCTTCTTGGACGTCGATTTTGAGCGTTCGAACCTTAAAAAAATTGTTTATTTATGATTTCTCCTCCTGGAATCGTACTCACCGTTTTTTGTTTTTCTGCCGTATGTAACCGATTTGCCAGTCGAACTCTCGTCTGCTCGACACGTTCGCCCTGATCCTTAAAATCGTCACGAAGAAGACTCGCTTTCCAGGCAAGGTCGTAGAACACGCGATGAGCATCGGATGCGATGCTAGCAATAGCACGATGATAGGATAAATCGTTGACGCTGAAAAAAGATGGAATTTGTGAGAAGAAACCAGACAAGCGGGGATGTAGCGAAACATTTTTGCATTTTCAGAACTATAACGATCCCAAAAAATTACGGTCCGATGAAGCAATTATGATTATTTGAATGAATTAACTGTCCCATGAGAAAATAGAAGTTTCATTGAGGTTTTCATGATACTTCAAATTTTCTTCTTTTTTTTGGAAAAAAAGGTTCTTGACTTTTTCAAAATTTCTGGTCAAACGAAGATCTTTAAGAAAGTATGAAGTTTTCAGTGGGACCGCTATTGTCTCATATAGCCGTAAATTTTCCGTCGGTCTGTTAAATTATCGTGGGATCGTCAAAGGAATTAAAAGCCAAAGTCTTTGTTTTTTAATACTCACCCAGTTATTGAAAATTCGTTCAGGAACACAAAGACTTGTTCACACGATTCGAAACGTCTCTGAGCCGTAGATGCGGTTGCGTTTGCAAGATCCAAGTTCTCACTATTCGTTTCCACTTCGATCTTTGCTGGTTCTGTTAGAAGTTCATTGTACCGGCTGAACTTCTCGCGAATATTTTTGAGCATCTGCGAGCTTTCGTCACTTATCTGGAAAAGTGGGTGTTTTCTTTCGTTAACTGTTCTTCTCCATTCTAAAAAACTCATCATGGAATATTTTTATAAAATGCTATACAATTTACATACGCCCTTTACTCGAATATGAAACGATAGTCACTTCTCCAATCCTAAAAGATCATATTATGGAATTGAAATCGGTGCAAAAGTCATTTGTTTTCAGAATTTTCAAAAAATTCAGGATGGCATACACTTCATACTTTGAAGCACTGGAAGAATGTCAGCTATGTTCTTTGAAGTATCGCAGGCTCTATAATGATTTGGTCTACACGTATAAAATTATTGTTTCCAAAGAAATTATCATGGAGCTTCCAATTTTCGAGAAATTTAATCATTCTGAATCGTTACGACGTCACAAATACTATCTCAAATCACTCATCAAGAGCTCATCAAGAATATCTTCTCAATTTCTTTCTAATAGAGTAATTAGATGTTGGAATTCTTTACCCGCCGAAGTGTTTCCGGTGTAGCCCTCGTCAGCGGCTTTCGAAAATCCATTATTATCCTGTGATCTTAACCATTTTCTTGTCTTAAATTCAACTAATTACTAACTCGGTTTTTCCTCCATCCCCCATTTACTACAAATGTATGTCCCTGTTATATCTCCTAGGTTCATATACATTTCACGTGTTAGTGGTTTTTTTCCCTTCGTTGAAACAAATAAATTTGAATTTGAACTGAAAATCCCACTCGCAGCAGGTCGGGCCCGGCTTTTTTCAAAATTTTTAAAATTTCAGAATTTGTTTGTCAAGTGTGGCTCCCGGGTTGGGCGGAGTCTAAGAAGTCCGAAGAGTCAAAGGCCAAAGAAGCCAGGCTGAACCCTAATTTTTCAAGTAAGCTAAAAATCAAGCCTTACCAATTTCCAGTTATCCCTATTTACATTTGGTTGATTCTCGGATGAGATTTGTTGCGAATCATTGCTTGTTGACTGGCCAGCCTTTTCGTCATGACCACAATTGAACGAATCGAGAAAATTAGACACTGCTTCACTATGAATGTTTTCCAGCTTTTTGCACAGCCCTTCAATCTCTTTTGTCCATTTCTTCAAATTTGGATAGTTCCTGCAAAACAGTTAAGTAGCTTTCCGCAAAATTTAGTTTTGAAACTCACATATCAACTGGGGGATTTGCTCTCAACTGCTCGTTTAACTCGATGTACTCCACGACAAGCGTGTTGTGGATTTTGGCAAGAAAAACAACATCTGTTTTGAGTTGAATAATCGTCCTCATTATGTCCAAGCTTCTAATTTTTTCCACGAATTGGTCCACGAGCTCTCGATCAGCATTTGTATCTTTTGTTGTGATTGCAGATGACTTATTGTCTCCGTTTATGACTATTCCTGTAGATGCGTATGTGACATAAGCATTTAGTAGATCTTCCGGATCTTCTATGCTTGTAAGGACGATTCTGGCATCGAAAATTTTCATCCTTGTCAATCCCATGTTGAAGTTAGTTGAATTCAGAAGCTCGTCATAAACACGAGCAGCAGCTTCAGCTGATTCGTGTTTGTTTGCAAAGTAACCAAGATATTCTGCATATCGGTCCCATATCATATTGATAACGACGATCTTCGGAAGGAACCACCTCAGAAAATGGTTTAGTGGGACGACATTGATGTTTATGAAATCTTCAGGTTTTAAGGCACCGGGGTAATACTGTTTCGTGGTGAGATATGTGATTAGATCTTTGCATTCCATCCTGGAAAATGTAAAAAATTGAAATGCTATTTGACATATTAAGCAAATGTTTTTTCAGAATAGCAAAATCTCACCTTCTGGAACCAAGTGGCTTTCTCATTGAGGACGAAGTTTCTTCGAAAGTGTCTTCAAAGTCTGGATCAATCACAGAAGCGGCCCAAATAACTCCACCGACGATCTGAAAAGATCACTTCCAATCATTTCTCATGGTGTAATTAAATATCACTTTGTCATAATTGCTGAGTCTAGTAACACGAGCACGATGATATCCATGAGCAGATAACTGATCCGTCAGAGCTGTAACTGGAATCTGCGTCTTGTCACGTGGCGGGACATTGAATTCTGCTACGACAACATTCGGCTGCTTAATCTGACCCCGCTTCATACTTCTTAGATTCCAAAGAAGAAGTGCCTGAAAAAAATTTAGTTTATAACATTTCTAACACAAATTGTAGAGGTTTAAAAAACTAAGAAGGCACATAAGAGGTTTTTCTAGAACTGAAGTTCATACTGAAATCATTTCGAGGACTGAATTTTTTTTGTTTTTTCTTACCAAAAAAAGATTTTCAGAGTTTTTTGGGTTTCCAAAGTTGTTTTTTGCTCAACCCGGAGATTAACGGCTCAAAACTAAGTTAAGAAACAAAATCTGTTTTTTAAAAAACGGGCAACGAGAAACATATGTTAGGTAGCAGAATACATGGTTCAAACAATTCCTGGTGTAAACTGGCGTCAAATACAATGCCTGCAGAACTCATCTAATATTGGTGTTCAAGGGTAGAGAGCGAGAAAAAAAAGAGGGGGTCTTCGTGGAAATAATTTTCGAAGCAACAAATGCTAGAGAGGAAAAAAGCACACAATCTAGGGATATTGCAGTGGCCAAGAGATTTGTGCAGATGTTGTTTGGATTTAAAGTACTAAATATTGAAAATCCGATTTGTTATGGAGGAGATTATCAAATTGTGTTAATGTAATTTTAAGCGAAAGTACATTTATACGATGAATGAATTCACGACACAGAAAGTTAAATTAACACACTGAAATTTAAACTAAGTTTAGTCGAAAAACTTCAAAGATATAAATTTGTGGAACCTAACGAATTTCTATGAGTCATACAACTGTCACAAATTTTTCAGAAACAAAAAGTTCAAAATTTGCTGTAAAAAACACATACGTGCAATTTGAGCTCAATTATCTCACATCAGTTCCTATGAAAGATATAGAAAATCTGTTTAATAATGAAATATTGGTGATGTTATGATAAGTAATTTATCAGTTAAAAATTATTAGGCATCTCTCGAAGGAACCGTAATAATTGAGTTCAAAAAGCACGTGTATTGTGGCTTATGTTAAAGCAAAGTTGGCTGGTAAATCGACGCTTTCGATCAATGACTAACCGAACGTTTGAAAGTTGCTACAGTCCGAATCTGATGCAGTGGGAACAATCGATGCAATCTGACGCGGTGTAATGTCCTTTTCCCATTCTATCCTTTTTGTGTCAAAAAAGAGACAACCCGACTTTAAAAATGAGAGGTCATTTTCTATAAAGAATATTTGACTTTGAAGATTCCAGGGCAACTTTCAAAATTTGTGGCTAATTTTGAAGATTGCTTTAAATATGGGTTTTCGATTAAAATATTCCAGGTATCCTTTACAACCCGGAGTCCTTGTCTTCAAAACTTCCCCTCAACGCATCTGAAAAACTCTTGCAAATTGTTTTTCGCTTTCTCACATTCCCTCCAACCCCTACACCTAATCTAAGCTGTAGTCAATATGACCAACAAACTACTCTGTCAGTATCTGTCTCTCAAAAAAAAAAATTGAATCCTTCTCGAATCATTAGTTCCTTATCAACTATCACCACCTTTGATCAGTCGCTCCCATTCTCCTTCTCTCACATTGGCTACGTGTGTTCTTCAACACTACAAACCACAGATACTAGTGGGTTCTTCAGCTAGACTTGACCACATTTGATCATCGGCAAACATAGGTTGGCCTAGGGGGGCAGTCAGAGGGCAAGTATAAAAGTCGGCCTCTAACCCTTTTTCATTCCTATTCTCCTGGCCTGGAGGTACCAGACGGTGAGGGCGAAACATGCGGTTTCCACGTTGCCCGGCGTAGCCTAGATTATCCTTTTTGTGACCGCGTCCTTATTTATCGGTTATATCCATCTTTTATTCCCCTTTTGGTATATGGATTCGGTACTTACTCATTTAGGTCATCATGATCATGGGAACTATTCTCTCCAAATAGATTACCGATCAATATGGTATTTTTCAGTTGATTTTGACCATTTTCAGGAGTCTGGAGCTTGAAAATTTTGGAGGGTGTAAAACAGACCCAGATTGGAAACTTGGCTTTCAAATAATTTGTTGAAAATCTTTCGTTTTTCAGCTAATAGCCGATATTTGAAAGATACCCGTTTTTATCAAATTTTCAGTAAAAAACGGGTCAAATAGGGGTGTGTTTCAGAAATCGGCAAAAACCTGAAAAACTAGGAATTTTTGAATTCTGTGGGTGTATAGTTTTTAATTCAAGTTTGTTTCACACCATCTAAAGTTTTCTAAGTGATCGGAAACTTGACAGCCAAGATACACTTTTGAAAAAAGTCAAAAGAGTCAAAATTACCGAAAATCAACTGAAAATACAATTTTTCATTTTTTATCGAGCGGTATAGTATATTAGTTATAATTTTGAAATGATTTTTTTGCTTTTGCTAGAATGTAGCTTTATAAAAATACCGTCAACACTCGAATAAAGCGCCACTCCAAAACTTTGAACTTTGAGCTTATTTATCTTGGTTACTGTAAAAGACATCAAAAAGTGCTACTTTTTACTTTTTGATATCATTCACAGGAAACAAGATATATAGGTTCAAAGTTAACGGTTTGGAGGTGTTCTATTAGAGTGTTTACGGTATATGTGGTTCTGAAACAAACTGGATATATTGGACAATATTCTTTTTTTGGAAATTTAGTAGACTTTCAGTTTTTAAATTATCTCTATTTCTGTTCAGGTGAAAGAAAGCTCCTACAAAGCTGAAGCTTATAATGCTCAATTGTGCATGTTGCTCGTTCCGTTGTTGTTGTTGTTGTTGTTGTCATGACATCAGTCTAGAGTCTAGTGTTGTCTCTATTATTGATCATTACTTCTGTCCTCTTCTTTCTTCTATTTTTCTTTCTCGTAGTCGGCCCGCACCTCCTTCCCGCACACTACTCTCTCCCGGCCTCCCAAATTCTCCTCTCTCTTTCATTTTGCCCACTCCTATATTACTTGTTTGTTCCCAATTCCCTCCTTCCCGCACAATTTTTCTCTTCGTCTCTTTTTTCGTTTCTAGCCTTGACACAATTGCCTGTCTTTTGCCTTCTGTTTTTGACAAAAATTAATTCAATTTTCTTTTTTTTTCTTGTTTTTCACCATCACTTACTTAATTCTTTATGATTTGTGGGAGCTATTGATACGATTTTTTCAGAATGGAGGGTCTTAAGCAAATGACCCTCAAGGAGATTTCCGACCACAACACCAACAAGTCCGCGTGGCTTGTGATTGGAAACAAGGTTTATGATGTCACAAAGTTCTTGGACGAGGTGAGTAGAAGTTAGGATTATTGCGAAATCAGCAGTGTGACGAACTGTCGACGACTATAAAGCACAGTTTTTGTCACAAACCAAAATACACGATTCAAAATAAAAACGTGATGGAATTTGTGACTAGTTTCATTAAAATAGAATCGGATTCTATAGAATTTTCGCTGTTAATTTTTCAAAAAAAATCCCGTTTCCAGCATCCGGGAGGTTGCGAAGTGCTTCTCGAGCAAGCCGGTGGAGATGGAACCGAGGCGTTCGAAGACGTTGGACATTCAACCGACGCCAGACATATGAAGGAAGAATATTTGATTGGAGAGGTGGTTGAGGAAGAGCGCAGAACCTATTCCTACGATAAGAAGACATGGAAAGCGGGCAACGATCAGGATAACAAGCAGAGAGGAGGGTTAGTCCTCCAGACCTCTTAGAATTCATCTCAAATGTTTCTAATTTTGCAGAGAATCCGGACAAACCGACAACCTGGTCTACTTTGGCCTTCTTGCCATCATTGTTGCCATGGTCTACTGGCTGATGACTAAATAAATGCATTTTTCAAACATTTGTGATACCTTGGATACTGGGAATCGTTATTATCATCTCTTGCTACACAACCAACATTCTATCACACAACTTTTTTGAAATTCTCATTTTCTAGTTTATTCTCTCTTGAAAAATAAAAACATCATTTTGATAAAAATTTTTTGATCGGGATATTTACAATTATATAGTAATGCACTTTTATTTGGATCGGAAGGACAAGGAACGCCCAACAGAAGACGGAGTGGAGTTGTTGGTTTTTGAAGCTTGGTTTTCGTGGAGCACAGGGTCGTTTATCCAAAGGTTCTGGAAAAAGCGCAAATTAACAGCTGAGGTTTAATGATGTTACCGTTGTGAGGTCCTTGCGCCACAGTAGCACTGCTTCATCTGCACCGAACTCCCCGGAGCACGTGAGGATATGGTTTTCGCTGAAAGTTTTCGAATTTTTGATTCTATTGTTACCTTATCCAATAGTTTTGCGGTCAATAAGATATTGAAAAACGTATTTTTCAGTTGATTTCAAGTCATTTTGACTATTTGCAAGAGTCTGTAGCTTGGCTGTCTAGTTACTGGTTACTTTTAAAGTTTCGAAGGATGTAAAACAAACCCAGATGGAAAAATTTAAACTTACAGAATTTTTCAAAAATTCTTAGTTTTTCAGATTTTTACTGGTTTCGAAAGGACACCTACTTTTAGCCTTTTTGTACTTAAACGTGAAAAAAAGGTGTCTGTCAGAAGTAAGTGAATAGCTGAAAAAACTAAGAATTTTTGGAAAATTCTGTGAATTTTTTGGTACTAAAAGACTGCAAAAGTATGTTTATATTAATTGCGAATCACCAGAAATTAGTGTGTCTTATTTCTTCGACATTATTTCTAAACTCTGGTAATCACTGATATAAATTGTGACTACAAACCCTTCATTGACTAGAAAAATGTACTTTAAAGACTACAAAAAGTTGTTGATGTTTTTTTAGTACTAGGAAAACTGTAAACTGATTCATTTCTATAATACACCCTCTAGCATGTTAACATACTTTTTGCGATCACCCGACTTGTACTTTTCCCTTTCCGCTGTCTCTTCCGAACTCTACTCCGGTACTTTAATCAAGCACTTTACTCACCCGCTACAAATTATCTTCCTGACTGAAGTTTCGGATATTTTCAACTTCATAAACAGTGTCAATTTGACGCTGGAGACCCTGCAAAATAATCATTTTTCTCTACCCATCTGATAGTACAATAAAAATGAGGCCATACACTGCACTGTCCTCCACATCGTTCGATAATTCTTTATCAGCACTTTCTGAAAACACAAAACGATCATAAAACAAAATTAACAGAGAAATATGTGATTTCTAGGAGAAAATTTATAGAAAAAAATCTAGTACCTCGTATTGGAACAACGTAAGGGTCATCAAATGTGAGGTCTTTGCGATGAAGGTTCACGTGTTTGGGAATGACTGAAAGTAGTTTTTTGTGGCAAATGCAAAAATGAAAACAATTCCTACCACTCAATTTTTTGTGAGACTGAATTGCAACTTTTCTTCTAGAACGTTCCTCATCTGAGTACAATTCAAATGTGTCATCATACTCCATGGATGTACAACTGGAGTTTGTAGAACTGAAGAATCTGAAACACAAAAATTGTCAGTAAAACTATCGTAAACACTCCAAACTATTATAAACACTCCAATAGCGCCCCTTAACCCGTCGTTCATAAGCTCAAATAAATTCCCGTTCAATAATAAATACAAAATATATTTTTCAGTGATTTTCGGTCATATTGACCATTTTCAGGAGTCTAGAACTCGGCTGTCAAGTTTCCGATCACTTTGAAACTTCTGGAACGTGTAAAACAGACTAGGTTGAAAACTTTGCATTTACACATTTTTTTGAAAAACCCTAGTTTTCTAGCTATTAGCCGATTTCTGAAAGACGCCTTTTTCTTACGTTCCAGTACATAAACGGGCCAAGAAACGGTATTTTTCAGAAATCGGCAAATAGCTGAAAAAATAGGAATAGATCTATTGTCGGTGTAANCTGATTACACTGGACGCACAGTCGTTGACAAATCTGTCGACTACACATGTGGCATCATCGAATGTGGGATCAGGGGTTATACATTTTGACAAGGTCAGCGAAATTTTTGCAATGATAAAAAACAAGAAAAACAACTTC